CTAAAGTTTCACCCTAAATTCTAAATGTTTTGTCCCCTCTCTGTTGCATTAATAAAGTCTAAACCCTAAATAGTCAATCTCAACAAGTACCAAACAACAAAGGTGGGGGAGGTCTTATTTTCAAAGGGAGACAACTCTCAATGTTTCATTTTTAAATAATTTACCAGCTTTCCAGTTTGAGAAACAAAAATAACAAATATTACCTAAGACGTTTCAAGGGATTAGAGACATGCCCAACAGATGAGACAATATCTTTATTATGAATACAATCATCAGTCAACTGACTACTGTGTCATCTGTGGTATGTACTATGAATATTAGGAATGACACATTATACAGACTTCAGCAGTTACATAGCATGAACGGTACCAGTTCCCAAATCATCTCAGAGTTGGACAGAGAGGAGAAGTACATGTTACTCTGCATCAGCAAATTCTGGAAGTTTAGGGTGAAGTTGAACACTGAATCTGACGTTCCTTTATCATAAGTATGGAAATACAATGTTGCCTCTGGGAATGATGGTTATCATTGAGTTGTTCAATTCTAAATACTACCAACACATATATCTTACACATCACTCAGAATCCTCATAGAATTACACATGACTTAGGCCCCAACCACTTAACAAGTTCAATATTCTGTTCTGGGTCATTACTTCAAGACATACAATTTCTTTCCTGAAAGAAACCAAAGATTTTTTTTTAAAATGAAGACATCCAGCATATCCAATGAAAAAATTGTTTTTGTTTTTAAAAAAAAGGTCAAAATGCTTTCTTTCAGCTTTTCTGGAACAAATTAATAAAAAAGTCTCAGGCTTCCCTCCCATAGATTATCAACTGGTCGGCCCCATGTCAAGAGGATCACATTGTAATCATATGTGAATAGAGTCAGTATCTGACTTTATCAGCTATTCCTGACCAACAAAACAACAGTATCCCTGGAGACTGCTTCTACAATCATGCAGCATGGTGACCATCAATAGTAGGAAGTGGATTAAATCCTGTACCAATGTAACAGATACTGTTACAAGTAGGTGATCAAATATGGTACTAATGAACATACCGTCTCTGTCAACAACATAAACACTTCAACAGGTTTTGTTCACAAAGTTGACTGAAATCAAATCAATTTAAACGTAACACACATTTCCACCCATCAAAAGCCATTAAGATATCATCAAACATACACGGTCAAATAAATCATTTCATATTAACAAACATGAGTAAATGTATATGTGTTTCTCTACATTGATGGTCATTTACTTGAACTAAGGAATTTGTATCAAATAAATTACTAGGATTGTTTGCAGGTGTTTTCATACAAGTAACTAGCATTTGGAAACAGGTCATGGAAAATAATATGCTACACAAACAAAGCAAAATATTCAGAAATAAACAACATTCATTCTTCAAAATTCCAAGCAACAATTCTTGTTAGTTAATTATGAAAATGATAATCAATTTACGATATACTGATTTAGCTTTCTTATTTAACAAACTTTCCTATCAACAATACTATGTAAATAATTGGTCCCTTGTCAATTTCATCTTGGATGATGCACATTTCACTTTACGTATATTTCAGTTATATAACCTTATATAATCTTACCATCTATGATCTCAAGCCAGTGTAACGGCCATAAAATTTCCGAGTCCCGTGATGGGATTCGAACCACAGACCTTCTGATCACAGGTCGGACGCCTTGTCCACATGACCAAAGAGGTTAACCCCCGTCAACAGAAGGCACGTCCCGGGCCGCATAGTAGGGTACTGAGGCTTATTTTGCTCAAATTTAATATGAACGTGCTCAGCCCCACGTTGGGCGCCATTTTGTAGCCAGGCGTGGTGTGATGTGTCCAGCCACTGGGCTGCTAGTCAAAACATGAGGCAGTTCTTGAAGATGATGATGATTTTTATTCTTGTGTAGTAGATGGTGGGAGGGAAGCTGTAAAGAAGAGTCCTCCCTCCATAAAGAGTTCATGCAGAATTGTTATAATTTAATTTAAGCCAAAAGGAAACAGATTAATTTATAAGGATATGTTGGGTAGCACATGGTTGAAGCACATGGTTGAAGACCATGTGCTCAATTTATGTAACACAAAATGTGTGAGCTGGCAAATATTTAGATATGACAAATTAAATAATAATGCAATTAAATATATTTTACTTTAATGAAAAGCTGTGATACCCTTTCTATGAATATAATTGTTTCTAAAGCAGGATGGAAAGAGATAAGAATATTGAAATGTTTCTCACCTGTAAAGAAGAGTCCTCCCTCCATAAAGAGTTCATGCAGAATGCATGAGGAGGGCAGGTGAGAAAGGAAGTTAAAGAAGTGGACCAAAGGGCCAATCAAAAGAAAGGTAGCATCTGACAGGTATTAAAAGGAAGTCAAGATGCTTCAGTCACATAAAGTGGTGGACATGTCTAAAAATAGATAGGGGGAAGTCCAGGTGAAGCTGGAGAAATTACAGAGGCTGCAGAAGGGTATCAGGTTGGTGTTAGTTGGCTGACATTCAACTGCAGACAAGGACAACATATAATGAACATATAATGAACACATAATGAACACAGAATGAAGTGATGGTGATAATAGATGAACATGTATGTATATATGTATAGAATGAATCTAAGGGGGGTTATAAGTGGGTGGTACTTATGTGGCTATAACTCATTCAGAGTTAGCACCACCACCCGGCTACACCAGCAACAGTCATTCAATAATCTAGCCAGTATTGATCTTAATTCAAGTACCGGTAATTTTGGTAATCATTCCAACAACATTCCTTCTCAAGCATTCACTAACATGTAGGTCCACAGTTGTTGCCAAACCCCAGTAAACAATGATATACCTACATAGATATAGATATATTTACACCAAAACACCACACATATCCAATGCACCAAGTTTTGTATTGCACATTTGTGTTAAGTACTGTGCATCACCAAGACACAACTAATTGTACACTTAAACCCTTGTATTATTACAGATGATTGACAATGGCTGTCATGGTATATTTAGTCTTATATCCTGTGAATGACACATCACAGGCAACAATAGACTTGTGCGTCACTTGATTAATGTGAGCGAGGGACATGAGCATTTTTTGCATTATTTTCATGCTCGCATTATCTAAAGTCCTGCTTGAAAAAACTACTGTAGCATTTCAGAGACAGGCCCATCTTCAAGCACTTGGCCCACTGGCATGGGTATGAATTTGAAAAAAAAAAAAAAAAAAAACTTTCCTTACTTTCATAAATGACATTTGAAGAGTGCCATGAAGTCAGTCAATTATGACGTAACTCAAAAAGTGTACTTTCTCGCCGGATAAAGTACAGTTGGCACCTTTGACCTTTTAGCAAAGCATCTTTGAATGAATGTTAAACAGATTGTCCTTCTTTTATGGATTGTGATGTGAGTATTTGCTACAGAAAGTGTTTTACTTTCAATCATTCTGCCAACCATAATGCTGTTTTCTAGCCAGAATCATGTGAAGCAGAAAACAGCCTGGAGAGTCACAGAGGTCTTGCTGCGGATTGCGGTTACCAATGACAACTAACAACTGATAAGTACTCATCACATGGTGTGCAGGAATATTCCAATCTCATGACATCATAATATCCTATTGTGTTATACTATCGTCATACACTATTTCCAGTTTACTTGAATGACAACATTTTTAACAAGAGTTCTCTGAACACAGGAAAATCAAATGGCAATCAAATATAAAAAAACACAACAAACAAAATAAAACTCGCACCGCATCTTGATTTGTTTCTACTCATTGATGGTTTTGCTGCCAACAGTCCACAACACGACTAACACAGAACTCCAATCATGACGGTTCTACATGGAGGTTGTATACACAATTTCATAGATATTTACAACTGTTATGTCAGCAACTGATTAATGGAAACATGACCATGATGACAGTAAATATACACATCGAAAAGAATTAAGCACTTCTCAACACATATTTCCCCAAATAAAATAAAACTTTTTTTAAACTGTATCCTTTATCAATTTTATGATGAAATACATTTAGTTTAGTTTACATGACAAATTCAATGAAATACAGAAACTGAAATTGATTAACGTATTCGACGTAATAAGCGCCCAGGGTGCTCTCAAAATTAGAAATAAGGGGCTCTTATTATTTTATTATATTATTATTATTTTGGTGGAAAAAAACAGTTGAAAGATCGTAAATTTCGTGGTTTATGCTGACTACCTGAAATGATACAAACGAAAAGTCTGTGCATATTATACACGACAGATATATTTTTCCAGAATTTAATTGCCCATAATTGAAGGGTGCATATAACACACAAGTGCGTATCATACACAAAGGGGTGCTAATTGGGAGTGTTCACTAGCCAATATATTAGCAAATATTGCCGTGGGCGCTTATTAGAATGGGGTGCTTATTACGTCGAATACAGTATCTTATGACATGTTTTCTAACTGATCTGTGGGAATAGTTATTTCACTATCCTTTGGAGGTCTTCCTCCACCTTTTTTGCATCATATGACATGACCCAGCACTTGCTCTCATCCAGAGGAAGAGTGTGTACCACTGCCCAAGAGATGGCAATCTTAGGCATTCATCAACATGATATCAAGGTCATATGAATATATTTCTAAAAGATCCACAGAAGTTTAGGATACACGAAAATACTAAGGAATTGTGCCTATGTTTTTTCCAGGTGTATATAGACCTACAAGCATGAGTCTATAGCTAACAGTAAGCCACAAATTACTGCCTGACACTTGAGATGCAGTATTTCCGAGTGGGTGATGTTATTATATACATTTTCACAACAGTGACCTGGACAAGAAACAGGTCAGGATGTAGGATTGGCCAACATGCAAACCACAGCCTTCTTATCTACTGATGTTACAACACGCTGTGCATAATAGAATCTGGCTTGTCATTTAGCATGACCAAAAACATTTCCATTTTGTTATGAAAAGAATTGAAAATTTGACATGATTCCTCATATATTTCTCATCTGGAAAATAGTCATGACTAAAAAATGAGTTTTGAGAATTTATGAAAAAAAAATGCCAACCAATTAATTACAGCTTGACTTTATAATAACTGCAGAGCATGAAGATCTTGGTAGGGAAATGGGCTTATCTACCATAAACATCAGTTATAGCTTGATGAAAAAATACATACAGAGAGACCTTGTCTGTCTTGAAACCCTGCATTCTGGATGATGGGTCATTAATCAAGACATCCAGTCTTTATCACAAGGCACCAAGAAAAGAGAACCAAAACAGTGAACAACATTGTACTTCACAATCAAGATGGCCACCCCTGCCTCAAATCAAGTAGGCACCATAGCTGGCAACCAGTAAGTTTAAATTGATGGTTCACTGAAGATCAGGACATTTGTTAGGAAGGTGTCCAGATTAACTAGGTTTAATTGTGTATAAACAAGTCAACAGTCCACTCAGGAATCACAACTCCCCAGCACCCAGTTGCCATAGCGACTGTTAGATTCAACACCAGGGAGGTGCACTGCAGCTGGGTGGTGCAGCTGGTTTAGACAGCTGATTCGCACAGCTGATAACTCATTCGGTGAATGTAGTTGATCTAATCAACTTAGGTCTGCTGTTATTGCTGTCTTATCTAGATATCATGACAAACCTTGAACACTTGGATGGTTGAACATCTCGCTCTCTCTCTCTCAATATATATAGGAATAGGGCACATACTGCACTTTAAGTAAACCCGCAATTCCTAGGTGGACAGATGTATATTCACTGCATTTTTCTGAGCAAATACAAGATTTAAAAACATAAATAAAGCATTGGTCGTGTTTGAGCTTCAATAAATTTTAGTACCCTTGCAAAACTTAAATAAATATGTGAAATTAGATCAAAATATTTTTTGACTGGTAGTATTTTCAATATTGCACACATAACCCTTTAAAACATAAGCTAACTACCCAGCCTAGCATGCCTACAGACTTTAAATTATTTCATGTCACTGTTATTTTCTTACAAATTAACCTCCATATTGAAACCAAACAGCCTGTTCTTTAGGCTCCATTCAGCCACAAACACACCTGATATGATCATTCTGATTCCAACAATTATCACAATACAATCATTAACAACGAAGAATTATCTAGAAACAACAAAGACAGGCATGGTATGCCCGAGATCAAATCAGTTCACATGACCTTAATAAATAAATTGTTTGTACAGGATAAAGTATGTACAATTATACATCAACAAATCATCTGTTGGACAGCTCAAGCACGATGTGAACACAGGACTTGGTACCAATCTACACTCAAAATGTATTGCATCCTTACATGAGAATTAAAGACAAAGGTCATGGTGCCAGGGAACCCATCAAGTGGCAGTACATCCTCGGTTATGCAATGTATTAAATAACAATTCTATTATGATCGATACCCTGGACCTGTTCGCATCCACATCTTTGTTTAGAGTCCAGTTTGAATGACACAATGGTCAAATCGGCATCCAAATAAATTATTTCTTTTCTTTCATGATTGAAATATGGCGATTTCACCAGGACTCAACTTTTGTGTGCCGTCACAGATCTGACTTGAACATCTTGTGACATAAGGAGTCTTCGTACTCCCAGTAACCCGGTAAAGCTTTTTTCGTAACATGTTCTCCTGATTCCTTTAAACATATTGAGGACTCACTTGGACAAGGCTGAAATTTTGACTGGAGATATATGCGCCACTCACATTTGGAAGAAGTATTTTTGTTGTGGAGTTCATGCTCTTGAGCTGAGAGAAATTCTCTGCTAAGTTAATAGCAGTAAGAGAGATGGAGCTGGTTACATCACTACCAAAATGAAGCATTGCTGGTGAATTGGTCCAGGGTGTAAATCATAATACAATGGAGAATGTAAACTTGGATAAGCGAGGATGGTGGCAGTCACAAATAGGAAATAATATTAATTTCTATTCAGTATAATAATGGCAACAGAGTTTCACTAAGACAGGACTGCTGCCACAGCTGAGGTTGTTGTTGATGGTGCTGGCAGTAGAAAACAAACAATAAAGAGCCATTCATATATTTAGATAAACAATTCAGACAAACATTTGTAAGGTAACAACCAAGAAATATATCCTGAAGGTATCATCAGGTGGACCATGGTCCGACAAACACGGGTATATTGTATTAACAACAATAACTATTACCATATGCCTATTCATGAGTAAGAATGCAGGTGAATAACAAATTTTGTTTAACAAATTGACATATAGCAAAGCAATTTTACGCATTCTAGAGATAAATTTAAAAACTGACAAGCGTCAAGTAATGTCAGCCACCTTTAACAATAAAATGCATCTGTCATTACAGAAGATTTAGTCTGTTAAAATTAGTGAGCATCAATTAAGGTCAATCACAAGCAGTGAAGCTACCCTGACTTTGACACTACATTCACACTGAAGTGCACTGAAGTGAAAATGACAAGACATAGAGGTAATCACACGAGTGTGTTTGTGAAAAACACACAAGCGTGATAACCTCTTTATCATATATTGTCATTCTTTAATTCTGTGCTTGAAAATAGCTTCCCCTCTCTCACAAACATTGCCGAAACATTGCGAGTTTTCCTGTTATGCGCGCATTAATATTTATTACGTCACAGGGTAAGTGATGTGTCAGTCGGACAGTGACAGTAGCCAATGTAGTTTCAACTGAAATCTCTTTCTTATACAGTGCCGAAGCAACATATACGCAAAACAACAATTGTTTTTACTTGCCTTTCGCGGCAATCCATCGGTCTTTCCGCTAGAGTAACTGCCCTTTGTCAAAGGGAAGCTACTCTAACCCTGGTCTATGAGACGTCACGGCCATGTTCAGACATTGTTGACAGTCGGCCTGTCCTGTCATAACGTTAAGAAGTGCAGTCAGATGTACACACAGCGCCAAAACAAAACAAGGTAACAATTCAAACATATTTCGGCTAAATCCAACTCTTTAATTTATGGAAAAAGTTTCAAGCCGCAGAGGTCTACAAGCACAGATATGGCCACTGATTCCTCTTGGCTAGGCCTAGTGCCCCCGCAAAATTGTTTCGAAATTTATATTTCCAAAGTTGCCAAAACTTATAAAATGCCTTAGCTACGTCACAGTTAGACACTGATTTTCAGTATATTAGACTGTCCTTTTGATAATGGTAGCAATTATTCCTGTAGTTTATCCAGATTCCCGATGGTTAATTCTGACTCGATCGCCGCATGACAAGGGCGACGCCATGTTTGTTTATAAACACTGAAAGTAGTCCCTACTTGACCTTTGATATTTGCATCTCTATCCACATATGACCCCAACGGATATTGTTTTTATCCATTGGCTTTATCATGCCGAGAAACCAACCCATTATATGATAAAAGTTTTTATCTGAAAGTAACAATTGAAGGTTATTTGAACAGTTCCTCCATGCTGGCTCCAACTATGGTATGCCTTACTGTAGCCTGGCTTGAATCAAGTTTGCTAGCAGTGCCTCTTTGTTTGAGCTTATTCACCCTTTAAGAAAGTCAAGATGTCCATCTATGTTGTATGACTGAAAGGTAGTCCTATCATTGCATCATGAATTATTCATGGCATCTGACTATCTGATTATGTGTGTGATCTTTGCTCACAACTGATCTGAAGTGATCCTTAAAATTACCTTTGATTAGTTATCCTTGATCTTGAAAGAAAATGACTATATGTTGTACAGGAAGTTCACAAATGTGGCTGACCATGTCTTTAATTCCATTGCTTACAATACGATGTATCTATGAATGTGGATGATTTAATATACAGTATGCTCGAACACCTCCTGGGAAGTCCACCCTCACCTGACATCTTGGTGGGGGTATTTGTACCACAGAAATCATGTCACCTTTAAACGAGTGATTTGCATGTAGGTGCTTGAAATATCTATCAAATGTTTACTCATTCCAATATTATCACGCCAACTATCAAATCTCCCACTAGATTCAGTTTTAATGTTGCATGTTGACAGTATCACACTATCAAATCATCTCATAAGAAAATATGTGATGACAAATTGATTAGAGACATTCTCAGAGTACTGGGTCATTTCAAAGACACATTATAAGAACAAATAAACTAGTCTTTTGTGTGGACAAATGAGATCACTGGCTATACCTAACACAACAGAGGTCACAACCAGGGTATCGTGCTGTGAGGTCAGGGCAGGGCACAACAGTGTATGTACACACAACCTGGGGAGATAACTCTACACCAAACATTTCTTGCTGCACACTAAAAAGAAAAGTTTATAAAATGCTGTACTTTGTGAAAAACATTGAATCCAAATTCAATTATCTCCAATCTTACTGTAGATCAAGGTCAAACAGTTGAGGAAGAAACACACAAGATGGCCCCTGAGTGAGGATTATTATTTGGGCTGAAAAGGTCATATTCGTACATGTTATTGCAGCAATGTACCCCAGGTACTGTATACAGTGGTTTGGCTTACCTAAAGTCTGCAGAGAACCAGTTTTGTGCACTGTTGAATGGCCTCATCCAATGGCACCCAGTGACCATCTAGGGTACATTTCTATATTCTGATTTCGAACAGGGTACATTTCTGTATACAAAAGGGTACCCGGGATCCATATTTGTAATACCATCAACAACAATGCCCTATTCAGCATTACTTGGTTGTAAAACATCCTTGCCATTATGAATAGGGTATATGACTAGAAGAAATATCCACACAATAAACAAATGTAAATATGCAGTCGTTTTTTAAACAAACATTTTGGATGCAATTATAAAAATTTACATTATACGTTTAATATTTACTTCATAGTTACAAAATCATCTTTCAAAATAGACAAAACTTTGCCTGTCACATTTAACTAAAAGTCCAGCAAGAAATACATTGGTACCAGGTTCAACTTCAAGTCCTTCAAATCAATACTACACCAAGTTGACCATAATCAGGATAATATGAGAACTTTCAATATGACATCTAAAGCATGCAGCTGTATGATAATATCATCTAGTGCCTGTTATAATATACACACTTTAAAGCAGTAATCTCTCATCTAGGTGACTGTGTCTCTATGTTGTGTCTGCACACACATTGTCTGTGTCCTCAGTTTTCTGTAGGTTGTCATCTGGTATTGTGATGGTTTCTCGCGGTGTCTGGATTGCCCTGATAGCATCCTCCCAGGCTGCAAGGCACTGCAATCACACACAACTCAGTGATACAATCACAAACAGACATAATTCCACTTTTTTTCTTCACCAAAATTCCCTGATATTTCCATGATATTTCCCTGATTGTTTTTGATTTTTTGGTTGTTCACACTAGTACGTAACCAAATAAACAGCTGTGTTACCAAATAAAAAGTTGTGTACAATCAACCTGGGACAGGGCCTCCCTACATCAATGTATTCTATGATTAGTAAAATAGTGGAATACAGTATTTGACTACTGTTGGATTGGGAATATCTAAGAATTTTTAGGTTTTTAAAAAATGAAATAAAAATGAAACGTGTGGCGGACTTTATGATGAAGCGGGCGGTGCGTGAGAACCAAGATTATTTATTTTTTTAGCGTTAAGTGTGTTATTTTTTGCGTAAAGAATACTAAGCCACCCAGTAATTATCCTCCCCTTCTAGCCGTCCATCTGCCACCAGTTAAAGAGTTCAAACATGAAAACTAAATATTAACTCTATCAATCATTTCCTCATCAAAACAAGTAGCTGTCACTGATATGAGGGCTGGTCAAAATGCTCTAAGCCTAACTAACAAAATCAACAATTGTTAAAGTGTTTTTAATTATATTTTTCAACATAATCTCCCTGCTTTTCAAGACACTTCTCATATTGATAGTGAAGCTTTTCAATTCCAGTCAGGAAGAAGTTTTCCGAAGCCACCCTGAAAAACCCATTTACGGCAGCTTTGAGGGCATCATTGTCATCATAGCGCTTTCCACGATGGTGTTCTTTCAGTGTGGGAAAGAGGTGGAAATCACTTGGTGCCAGGTCTGGCGAGTATAGGAAGTGAGGAAGCTCTTTGAACCCACATTGTTGCACAGCAGCCTTTGGAAGTCAAGAGGTATGAGAAGAAGGATTGTCATGAAGTGGTAGAACTCCAGCAGTCAGCATTCCTTGAGCTTTTCTTTGATAGTGTCTCTCAGGCGATGAAGCAAATCAGCATAGTAGGCACCGGTAATCGTCTTTTGACTTTCTAAGTAATCAACAAGGATCACACCCTTTGCATCCCAGAATACAGTGGCCATACCTTTCTTCACTGATCTTGAAGACTTGAATTTCTTTGGTGCCGGAGAAGTGGAATGGTGCCTTTCCATGGATTGACGTTTTGACTCTGGATCATAGTGGTAGACCCATGTTTCATCACATGTCACTAATTTCTCTTTGAATTTGCGAAATCCTCCTTAATTAGCTCTAAATTTTCTCTGTCAATGTCAGTTCTTTTTTCCTTAAGATCAGAATTTAGAAACTTGGGCACCCAATGAGTAGATATCTTATTCATTTGAAGGTGTTCATGAATAGTAGTTTCAATAGAGCCACTTCTTAGATCTGTGTCTTCCTCAAGTTAACAAATGTAAGGTACCAATGTAATACGTCTATCTGACAGTATAAGTTTTTCTATCTCTATCTTCAAAAAGTTCTCCCAGCCTTAAACACAGCTGCCCAACATCTAACAGTGGAATAACTAGGGCACTTATCCCCATACACTTGTGACATGTGGTCATGAATTTCTTGGGGAATACTTTTCTCTGAAGTCAAAAACTTGATGACTGCTCGGTACTCGTTCTGTTTCATTTGTGTGTCCATTTGGACCCCTATCACTTTCAACTGGCTGTCGCTAATATACAAACGGCCTCAACAGATCACATACACTTGCAATGAACTACTAAAAAAAAGGTACTACATTGACCAGCTCACTTTGTTATGGCCCATAGTTGAAAGTTAGTCAGGCTTAGAACTTTTTGACCAGCCCTCGTACAATCACACACAATGTAGTTGCACAATTACACACAACATAGCAGAGTGGTTGATATTTTGACACACACAATACAATTTTGTTGCCTCTTATGACCAGCAATAGAGCGCTGGGGACCTCGATAAACAATGTGATTTGCTTTGACCATCTGCCATATTAAGGGTGTCTGAAATACTATGAATTACCATGGATTAGGAAATCACCCAATCCGATCTACATCCAGATCACAGGTCTTTCAGCCAAGATGGCGCCGACCTCGCCCAGTCCCACACACATCCTTACACGAGACCCAGTGGAATCTCCCCAACTCAGGGATGCACACAATAAGATGCACATGGACAATGACTCACCTTTTCATAATACTGTATCTGTCTGTCGGCCATGTTGACCAAGTTGTCCTTCATGTCCCTCTGTTTAGTCTTGTGCCATCGCTCCATGTCCGCCTTCAAGTCCGCATTCGCCACCACTGTCCGGTCATTTAGCATTTCCATCTGGCGCTGCAGCTGTTACCATGACAACATCAGGAGTGAGTGAATGAAGATATTTAGCAATATTCCATCAATATGATGGCAGGGGACACCAGGGCAAATGGGCAACAAGAGTAGGAATGTTACTAAAAGATTCAAGTCCACTACTCTATAAACATATTACATTTGCACAATCCTTCCCCAGTGTTACATTGTGCAGGCGTGTACAATACATTCAACTGCTATCTGGCTGATAGTGGCATTTTCTGACAAATTTGATCATTTCGGCTTAACAAAACAAATAGTTCTGTTTTACTGACCACAGTTTGATATAGAAATAAAAAGTTCTCTATTGATAAGTAATTCTGTCTCAAAGGTGTTTGTGTTTGTTTGTTGTTTAACACCACACTCCAGCACTCAGTAATATTCCAGCAGTGTGACAGCAGGCTGTAAGTTATGAAGTGAGCACCAGACAATCCAATGGCTGATATTATGAGTAACGATCCACACCGTCAGGGTACGGTGACATGCAATCAACAAGTTCGCACAGTTTGACCGCCTAATCCATTAAATCAATTTGTACAGCAAACCTGGGTTACTGGGAACCAATTGTAACCCTTAATCCACCATGGAGACCCTACTGGCAGACAAACCTACATCAGCTATCTGTTGTTCCAGCCTATCCTGCTTCTGCTGTTTAACATCCTCCGGGTCCTTCCCAAGGAAGGCACCAATAGAATATGTCTGGTCCGATATTTTCACCTGGAAGCCAAGAGGGAAATTACCACTAAAAGAATTATCAGAAGTCGTGACAGAAATACCAGTAATAGCGAGAGAGTGAATGTTGTCTTAAAACTCAGTGAACAATGTCTGAGTTATATCACACCAACATGCAAATAATCAGGGTCCCATTTCACAAACTCCTTTACTTTAACATAGAGTTACGACAGTCATAGTACTACGACAATCATAAAAAACAAAGTGATCATAGCGCTACGAACACCGTAACTCCTTTACTTTAACATAGACTTACGACAATGGTAGCGCTATGACAATCGAAACGCCTTTACTTTAACATTGACTTACAACAATTACAACTCCTTTACTTTAACATAGAGACAGTTGTAGTGCTACGATCACTTGGGGAAACAGGGCCCATGTCTGAGCCAGGCAAACCAGTGGTTGATAGCGCATGCGACAATTCTGGTGTGGGGGACAATGGCACCTACTCAGGTAGGTAACACACTGGAACCTCCCAGTCATCATTAGTCTGACCTTACAACAAGCATGGCATGAATCCCCACATGGAAGCAGATATTGTCACCAAAGTACACTGAGACTAGGCATTAATCTAGGTATAAACTTTATTTGTCTCATAGAGATCAACTCATGCAAAGGTCCCTGACAAAATCTTCCTTACATGTTCTCTTTCATCTTTCTTCTTGTTGAGTTCCTCAACAATCATGTCATACTCCATTTGCATAGCATCACGGCGGCGCAGCACAGCCTGGGGAAATACAAGTGTACATGTCATATGGCCAGGGTTTTACCTTGACTTTAAGTTTAAGGGTCCTTGTCGGCAATATGAGGGTCCAAGAAAGTTAGTCCAGTGTACTGTGGGTATTGATGATCACTTTAGAGCCTTTAGAATCAGTGATCCTGTGGACTGTGGTCATGAATGTTGGGGGAAATGACAGACACCCAAATCTGCTCTTTATGCACTGTAGGTACACTGAATATTATTGTGCATCCCTTGGGACACTGTATTTTTTTTCTGCGTCCATTCTTGGGTCAGGTGAAACCCTATATGACAGAGTTAACTGTCATATTCCTCATCCGTGGCTGCATGTGTGCTGTGCGCATCTGTGTACATCTGTATGCACATTTTTATCTAAGCCAATGTGCATGATTGTGTGTTTGCAAGTAGGTCTGTGTGCATGCATTTGACAGTGCTTATGTGTGTTCCAGTATGTATTCTGGTGTGTATGCATGCTTGTGTGTATGCCTGTATACATGCCTGTGTGTATGTTTGCCTGCGTGTATGCCTGTGTGTATGCCTGTGTGTATGTATGCCTGTGTATTTCTGTGTGTATGTCGGTGTGTAAACATGCATATATGCCTGTGTGTATGTCTGTGTTTGTATGCCTGTGTGTATGTATGCCTGTGTGTATGCCTGTGTATGTCGGTGTGTAAACATGCATATATGCCTGTGTGTTTGTATGCCTGTGTGTATGCCTGTGTGTATGTATGCCTGTGTGTATGCCTGTGTATTTCTGTGTGTATGTCGGTGTGTAAACATGCATATATGCCTGTGTGTATGTCTGTGTTTGTATGCCTGTGTGTATGTATGCCTGTGTGTATGCCTGTGTATTTCTGTGTGTATGTCGGTGTGTAAACATGCATATATGCCTGTGTGTATGTCTGTGTTTGTATGCCTGTGTGTATGTATGCCTGTGTGTATGCCTGTGTATTTCTGTGTGTATGTCGGTGTGTAAACATGCATATATGCCTGTGTGTATGTCTGTGTTTGTATGCCTGTGTGTATGCCTGTGTATTTCTGTGTGTATGTCGGTGTGTAAACATGCATATATGCCTGTGTGTATGTCTGTGTTTGTATGCCTGTGTGTATGTATGCCTGTGTGTATGCCTGTGTATTTCTGTGTGTATGTCGGTGTGTAAACATGCATATATGCCTGTGTGTATGTCTGTGTTTGTATGCCTGTGTGTATGTATGCCTGTGTGTATGCCTGTGTATTTCTGTGTGTATGTCGGTGTGTAAACATGCATATATGCCTGTGTGTATGTCTGTGTGTTGTATGCCTGTGTGTATGTATGCCTGTGTGTATGCCTGTGTATTTCTGTGTGTATGCCTGTGTGTAAGCCTTCGGGTTTGTATGCCTGTGTGTATGTATGCCTCTGTGTTTGTATGCATCTGTGTTTGTATGCCTCTATGTTTGTATGCCTGTGAATATGTATGTCAATGTGAATATCTGTGTGTAAACATGCATGCGTGTATGTGTGTGTGTATGTATACCTGTGTGTATGTATGCCTGTGTATGTATGCGTGTGTGTATGTGTGTGTAAACATGCCTGTGTGTATGCGTGTGTATGTATGCCTGTGTGTATGCGTGTATGTAAACATGCCTGTGTGTATGCGTGTGTGTATGTAAGCCTGTGTGTATGTAAACATGCCTGTGTGTATGCCTGTGTGTAAACATGCCTGTGTATATGTGTGTGTGTAAACATGCCTGTGTGTAAACTTGCCTGTGTGTAAACATGCCTGTGTGTATGCATGTATGTAAACATGCCTTTGTGTATGCATGTGTGTAAACATGCCTGTGTATATGCCTGTATAAGAATTAGTCTCCGTGATCACAGGGTTAACACAGACAGTAGCTGTGTGTATGTGTCACAAGGTTAACACAGACAGTAGTTGTGTGCATGTGTCACAAGGTTAAGACAGACAGTAGCTATCTGTATGTGTCACAGGGTTAACACAGACAGTAGCTGTGTGTATGTGTGACAGGGTTAACAAAGACAGTAGTTGTGTGTATGTGTAACAGGGTTAACACAGACAGTAGCTGTGTGTATGTGTGACAGGGTTAACAAAGACAGTAGCTGTGTGTTGTGTCACAGGGTTAACAGACAGTAGGTGTGTGTATGTGGTACAGGGTTAACACAGACAGTAGCTGTTTGTATGTGTCACGGGGTTAACACAGACAGTAGCTGTGTGTATGTGTGACAGGGTTAACAAAGACAGTAGTTGTGTGTATGTGTCACAGTGTTAACACAGACAGTAGCTGTGGGTATATGTGACAGGGTTAACAAAGACAGTAGCTGTGTGTTGTGTCACAGGGTTAACAGACAGTAGGTGTGTGTATGTGTCACAGGGTTAACACAGACAGTAGCTGTGTGAATGTGTCACAGGGTTAACACAGACAGGAGCTGTGTGTATGTGTCACAGGGTTAACACAGACAGGAGCTGTGTGAATGTGTCACAGGGTTAACACAGACAGGAGCTGTGTGTATGTGTCACAGGGTTAACACAGACAGTAGCTGTGTGTATGTGTCACAGGGTTAACACAGACAGTAGCTGTGTGTATGTGTCACAGGGTTAACACAGACAGTAGCTGTGTGTATGTGTCACAGGGTTAACACAGACAGGAGCTGTGTGTATGTGTCACAGGGTTAACAAAGACAGGAGCTGTGTGTATGTGTCACAGGGTTAACAGACAGTAGCTGTGTGTTGTGTCACAGGGTTAACACAGACAGGAGCTGTGTGTATGTATCACAGGGTTAACACAGACAGTAGCTGTGTGTATGTGTCACAGGGTTAACACAGACAGTAGCTGTGTGTATGTGTCACAGGGTTAACACAGACAGGAGCTGTGTGTATGTGTCACAGGGTTAACACAGACAGTAGCTGTGTGTATGTGTCACAGGGTTAACACAGACAGGAGCTGTGTGTATGTGTTACAGGGTTAACACAGATAGTAGCTGTGTGTATGTGTCACAGGGTTAACACAGACAGGAGCTGTGTGTATGTGTTACAGGGTTAACACAGATAGTAGCTGTGTGTATGTGTCACAGGGTTAACACAGTCAGGAGCTGTGTGTATGTGTCACAGGGTTAACACAGACAGTAGCTGTGTGTATGTGTCACAGGGTTAACACAGACAGTAGCTGTGTGTATGTGTCACAGGGTTAACACAGACAGCAGCTGTGTGTATGTGTTACAGGGTTAACACAGATAGTAGCTGTGTGTATGTGTCACAGGGTTAACACAGACAGGAGCTGTGTGTATGTGTCACAGGGTTAACACAGACAGTAGCTGTGTGTATGTGTCACAGGGTTAACACAGACAGGAGCTGTGTGTATGTGTTACAGGGTTAACACAGACAGTAGCTGTGTGTATGTGTCACAGGGTTAACACAGACAGGAGCTGTGTGAATGTGTCACAGGGTTAACACAGACAGTAGCTGTGTGTATGTGTCACAGGGTTAACACAGACAGTAGCTGTGTGTATGTGTCACAGGGTTAACACAGACAGTAGCTGTGTGTATGTGTCACAGGGTTAACACAGACAGGAGCTGTGTGTATGTGTCACAGGGTTAACACAGACAGGAGCTGTGTGTATGTGTCACAGTGTTAACACAGACAGTAGCTGTGTGTATGTGTCACAGGGTTAACACAGACAGGAGCTTTGTGTATGTGTGACAGGGTTAACAAAGACAGTAGTTGTGTGTATGTGTCACAGGGTTAACACAGACAGTAGCTGTGTGTATGTGTCATGAGGTTAACACAGACAGTAGCTGTGTGTATGTGTCACAGGGTTAACACAGACAGTAGCTGTGTGTATGTGTCACAGGGTTAACACAGACAGGAGCTGTGTGTATGTGTCACAGGGTTAACACAGACAGGAGCTGTGTGAATGTGTCACAGGGTTAACACAGACAGGAGCTGTGTGTATGTGTCACAGGGTTAACACAGACAGGAGCTTTGTGTATGTGTTACAGGGTTAACACAGACAGGAGCTGTGTGTATGTGTCACAGGGTTAACACAGACAGTAGCTGTGTGTATGTGTCACAGGGTTAACACAGACAGGAGCTGTGTGTATAAGGCACAGGGTTAACACAGACAGGAGCTGTGTGTATGTGTCACAGGGTTAACACAGACAGTAGCTGTGTGTATGTGTCACAGGGTTAACACGGACAGTAGCTGTGTGTATGTGTCACAGGGTTAACACAGACAGGAGCTGTGTGTATGTGTCACAGGGTTAACACAGACAGGAGCTGTGTGAATGTGTCACAGGGTCAACACAGACAGGAGCTGTGTGTATGTGTCACAGGGTTAACACAGACAGGAGCTGTGTGAATGTGTCACAGGGTTAACACAGACAGGAGCTGTGTGTATGTGTCACAGGGTTAACACAGACAGAAGCTGTGTGAATGTGTCACAGGGTTAACACAGACAGGAGCTGTGTGTATGTGTCACAGGGTTAACACAGACAGTAGCTGTGTGTATGTGTCACAGGGTTAACACAGACAGTAGCTGTGTGTATGTGTCACAGGGTTAACACAGACAGTAGCTGTGTGTATGTGTCACAGGGTTAACACAGACAGGAGCTGTGTGTATGTGTCACAGGGTTAACACAGACAGGAGCTGTGTGTATGTGTCACAGGGTTAACAGACAGTAGCTGTGTGTTGTGTCACAGGGTTAACACAGACAGGAGCTGTGTGTATGTGTCACAGGGTTAACACAGACAGTAGCTGTGTGTATGTGTCACAGGGTTAACACAGACAGTAGCTGTGTGTATGTGTCACAGGGTTAACACAGACAGGAGCTGTGTGTATGTGTCACAGGGTTAACACAGACAGTAGCTGTGTGTATGTGTCACAGGGTTAACACAGACAGGAGCTGTGTGTATGTGTTACAGGGTTAACACAGATAGTAGCTGTGTGTATGTGTCACAGGGTTAACACAGACAGGAGCTGTGTGTATGTGTTACAGGGTTAACACAGATAGTAGCTGTGTGTATGTGTCACAGGGTTAACACAGTCAGGAGCTGTGTGTATGTGTCACAGGGTTAACACAGACAGTAGCTGTGTGTATGTGTCACAGGGTTAACACAGACAGTAGCTGTGTGTATGTGTCACAGGGTTAACACAGACAGGAGCTGTGTGTATGTGTCACAGGGTTAACACAGACAGGAGCTGTGTGTATGTGTCACAGGGTTAACACAGACAGGAGCTGTGTGTATGTGTCACAGGGTTAACACAGACAGGAGCTGTGTGTATGTGTCACAGGGTTAACACAGACAGTAGCTGTGTGTATGTGTTACAGGGTTAACACAGACAGTAGCTGTGTGTATGTGTCACAGGGTTAACACAGACAGTAGCTGTGTGTATGTGTCACAGGGTTAACACAGACAGTAGCTGTGTGTATGTGTCACAGGGTTAACACAGACAGGAGCTGTGTGTATGTGTCACAGGGTTAACACAGACAGTAGCTGTGTGTATGTGTCACAGGGTTAAAACAGACAGGAGCTGTGTGTATGTGTCACAGTGTTAACACAGACAGTAGCTGTGTGTATGTGTCACAGGGTTAACACAGACAGGAGCTGTGTGTATGTGTTACAGGGTTAACACAGACAGGAGCTGTGTGTATGTGTTACAGGGTTAACACAGACAGGAGCTGTGTGTATGTGTTAGAGGGTTAACACAGACAGTAGGTGTGTGTATGTGTCACAGGGTTAACACAGACAGGAGCTGTGTGTATGTGTTACAGGGTTAACACAGACAGGAGCTGGGTGTTGTGGAGGTTGTGGGACTGACCTTGATACACTCGGTGTACAGGATGTACTCCTTGACGGGCTGCAGCAGCTGGTCATCCGTGGAGTCAATCTGAAATAACCACGTCACAAGTCTCAGTAGATCCACAACATTCTCTGCACTTCACTTACAGAAAGAAAAAGGGGTGTCATCAACACAAAACAATAAATGAGGAACATAACTATCGCCTAATCAGTTTTACAAGTATGTTTCATATATTCTTAGAGTGAGTGAGAGGCGTCAACATATAACAAATGACAAAATCTCAATGAACTAAGACTGAAAGTCTTTGTGCTAACTCAGATCAAAATAAACCAATTCACCTGTTCCTTAACCCTAATATACCGTACTGATAATGTCTTACAGCAAATGTGACATGACCACTCTTCAGTTCAGTTATACACATTACAACTTGACCATACAAAAGATAACAGTGTTATGCATTATGAGAGCAGAAGAAGAATGATATCCATTATTCTGCAGGGAAACCAGGGGTTGATAGTGTAGCATCAGCTTGATGTATCAGGGTATCCATCAGGGTGATAAGACCCAGTCTTCCTCGGTAGTTTCACATTCATATACCATCCAAAGAAAGCAGCCACAAGGGCCTCACAATACTGATCTTAGTCACCTCTAATGACAACCATGAGATTAGGGAAGCTATCCTTCTCTGGGGTTCCATGGGGACATTCCCCTGATGGGTACAAAGGGCCCTGGTTTACAGAGGGGGTCCAAGGGTCCCAGGAGTTGTAGAATATAGGTACTTACGATGTCTTTGAGGATCTGACAGGTAGATTCTATAGTCCTGGACATCTGGACAAGAGTGTCGCTGAGCTGTTCCTCTGAATTAGACCACAGAGTGTACACAGGCGCCCACTCATTCAGCTCTCCCAGCAGCTCTGAACAAACGATGCAGGCAGATTGATCAAAAACACCTAACCTATACAAAGATTTTATCAATTTGTATTTTAAGACACCCAGAATTCAATTCAGTTCAATCCTGTATATTGGCCCTGCCTTAAAGAAAAAGAACAATGACCCTCTCTTCACAGTGTCTATGAAAATTTGGTCAATGTGATTTTTTTCCGTAGATTTGCATATTATTTGTATGAATTAAGGAAGAAATCATATCTTTGTATTTAATTTGCAAATTTGCAATAAATACCAAAAGTTGATAACAGTTGACAGCTTCCTGATACGTATATCTAGAACAAAGTATAGCAATACATATTGTATCATGACAATGGTGTATCGTTTGACCCCTTGTTCTCTCAAGGAGATTGATGGCGCACTCAAACCTCCTGGCCACACAGAAACTCTGAGCAGTATATACCTGTTTGTTCCTTGACGATCCTGCTGGCGATGCGATCCATGACTGAGACTTTGTCTCCGAAGGTGTGGATATACTCATGCATCACCATAAACTCCGGGGGCCTGTTCTTCATCATGTAGGATGCCCCCATGTTGTGGAGCGAGTCCGTCACGCGGCTGATAAATCCTGACCCCTGTTTCTTATGGGCTTGGAACTCCTGCAACAACAGAAAGACATTGTAACACATCCACACTGCTGAGTGAATGAGCAAGGTTCATTTGTTCATTACAGTCAAGTCTCGTTAATCTGGGACCCGGCCACAGTGCGACAGTGGGGGTCAGTCACCCGACTATACATGCGCCATAGGAGAATGGACCATCAGCGTCTCAACTACAAGATATTCAAGTGGAGTCATCAATGGGCAATAAGACGAAAATCCAACTGGACTTTCTGACTACACAAGAAGTTCCAGGAATCAAGCCTAACTCACATTATACCACTGGACAAAGTATATGGAAGTCAGTACATTGTGAATACCTTCCAAGATAAGACTATGCAGCAATTTAAAGATAATTGGAGGAACGAGGTTTCACGACAGGAAGGAAAGAGAGGAATTGGCTGAAATAAGCTAAGAACATCCAACAGTTTCAAGGAAGGTTACGAAACGGAGTATTATGTTCGAACCCCTATGCCGAGGAGATACAGGTTGGCTTTAGCCAAGTTCAGGAGTGGGGTGGCGCCCCTCAAAGTAGAGACTGGATGCTACACAAACACGCCCCTAGATGAAAGAATATGTCCATTTTGTGCTGTTGGTATAGAAGACGAAGAGCACGTTTTACTAAGATGTCCTAACTATGAAACCGAAAGAGAAGAACTGTTAAGAAAATGTTGCGATGTAGAAGATGATTTCAAGAATTTCGATGATCCGAGAAAAGCCAGTTTTATGTGATATATTTAAGTGCCAAAACCTGCTTTAACATTTTATCTAAAAGATATGATTGCCTTTATTCTTAATTCATGGTTTTACTTTTATATGCGTTGTAGTTTATGTACCTTTTATTTATATTTTAATATGCTCTTTTTATGAAAAGTCTCTCGTAACCCTGTATAGGGTGGCTCGTTACATTTTATACTTGTATACTTTTACATATGATATGTATTTGAGATATAAATTTTTTTATTTTAAAAGTATGTATAAATCATTGTAATGAGGTGAGACTATAATAAACTGTCTGTCTGTTAACAATGAACAATTAATCCTTTGAATAAACAAAACAGGATTAATCACAGTCTAGAATACTGAGGTCATCTCATTACAGGTCATGTCAGAACGACCTTTCACGATCTTTGACCGACCAATGAAATGACTAACTGGAAGTAGACATTAACCAATAAGATAGGTGCTTTCTTAACCTTTGTGGCACTAGTTTTAAACTGGTGACTTCCATTCCAGGCTACACATTCAAAAGTATTTTGAACCAGTCATACAACTCTGTGTTAAGTTTATCGAGGTTGCATGATAAGAAAACATATTCTGCTAACAATACAACATAACAGTATGCATATTTCCTTTTTAATTATTTTTTCAAATATACATGTTTCATTATCTATCATGTGGTTGTCCAATTTTCGATCATGAATGTTGATACTACTTAATTTCGTTTATCTGACATACTTGTTAATCCAACATAATCATATACAATCAATCATGTAGGATTAACAGGATTTGACTGTAATAATCTTCTTGGGGAGTTGAACAAAGGTATGATAATTGACAAGGTTTTAAGGCCTGGTACCATTGTATTAAATGTTTCCTAGTAGATGGTACCATTGTATTAAATGTTTCCTAGTAGATGGTAACATTGTATTAAATGTTTCCTAGTAGATGGTACCATTGTATTAAATGTTTCCTAGAAGATGGTACCATTATATTAAATGTTTCCTAGTAGATGGTACCATTGTATTAAATGTTTCCTAGTAGGTGGTACCATTGAATTAAATGTTTCCTAGTAGATGGTACCGTTGTATTAAATGTTTCCTAGTAGATGGTAACATTGTATTAAATGTTTCCTAGTAGATGGTACCGTTGTATTAAATGTTTCCCAGTAGATGGTAACATTGTATTAAATGTTTCCTAGTAGATGGTAACATTGTATTAAATGTTTCCTAGTAGATGGTACCGTTGTATTAAATGTTTCCCAGTAGATGGTACCATTGAATTAAATGTTTCCTAGTAGATGGAACCATTGTATTAAATGTTTCCTAGTAGATGGTAACATTGTATTAAATGTTTCCTAGTAGATGGTAACATTGTATTAAATGTTTCCTAGTAGATGGTAACATTGTATTAAATGTTTCCTAGTAGATGACAGAGCATGGTAAAATAATATTTAAGATTTTTGTTATCTAATTCATAACATTGAAGTGAGGAAGTGAATGAATGAACAGTATTCCAGTTAAATCACGGCATGTCAGCTTAATGTAGGAGGAAATCCCGAAGTGATGCAGGTCTCAGACGTATACCACTTCAGTGAAACCCACGAGCACGGTAATGGTGCTTACAAAAGTAAAATCATAATCGGGGTGAACCGGGATTCAACTTGGCACAGAGAATTGCAGCGACTGGAAAGTTGCATTGAAAATCGACAATAAATCAACCAATGACTGCTTTTTCAAACCAACTTTCAATCTCAAAAACTGAAACCATTCCCACCAGTATTGCTATGAACCAACTAACTGATGACCACCTACCCAAGCTTTAGCAGTGAGGAACACATGGAAACTCTTGTCAAAGGAGAGGACTGGGTGGTCGGCCAGTCTGGTCAGGAACTTCTGTAAGGCTGCTTGTCGGACACGCAGAAACTCGGGGCTGAACCTGTCCATTCTCTTCAAGGTATGCTTCTCTGGCAAGGGCTAACACAAAACATGGAGAGGCAAATTTGAACAAATCAAGAAACATCTAACCTAACATCCCATAATTTAGCAATCAGCAGTCACAGGGTTCATACAGATCTTTAGACTCGAAATTCAAACACTTTTTAAGCACTTTTCAAGGAAAACCATTTGTTTTCACAGACTCTTTTCTTGTAAAACGATGCCCAAGTCCTGCAAATTTAATCCCACCAATGACTGGTGATGACTGCCTCGTCAGTGAAATTTTACCCTACTTTCTCCCAATAGCCTTCCTGCAGCAGTTACACAAAGCCTTGTTTCTGTCTTTTGTTTCGTCCATTTGAAATTTTGAAAACCAGGTGAGATTAAAACATACTTCCCCATGATTTAAACACAATTTGAAGCAAACTTTCTCCCCTGCTTTGGTCATGGGTCCATCTGACATTCATAACCTCATTTTGATTTTGATTTAAACTATATTCAGCAATACAATGCGCAAAGGAATTAACTCACGTAACCCATAATAGACAGTCTTTCTTCTTTGTTGTAAGTGACAGGAAGTAAATAACGCATTAAATCTCAATCGATATTAATTTTCAGTAGCAATTTTGTTATAGCTAGAAAGATTTTATTTATCAAGGATCATCAATAAAATTCCGGCACTTTGAATGTAAGATGGCAGAAAGAAGCACTCTTCATCAGACGTGGTAAAGCACTTATGAAATCTGTGTGAACCCTGGGTCCTGTTGTAGCCTCTCACCCTTGTACTAGTTGAAGCAGATTCCAACATGTGCTCGCATTTTGATGCAGTGATTTTTTAAAAATTTTGAGACGGAACTGTCAAGTGAGTCGTTCCTCACAGATGACCCTGGGCAACATAGATAAACGCAATGGCCGAACGATTGCTTCCAAAGTGGGAGAGATATGACTATCAGTATTGTGAGAAAAGGTACAGATAATCAATGTGAAAATTGTGAGAATACATGGGAAAGATCAAATTCATCCCCCTATTCATTATTTAAATACAGGTACATATTTGTAAGGGTGTACTTTTTACTAACATAGTAAAAGAGGCTGAACGTAATGTTAATATATCATATAAGAAATAAATGACTCATTGTCGTTGTTTATCATACAATAAAACACTGCAGGGAGAATAAACTACTAGTTTATGAAAAAAATGACACATAAATGGTGATTTGGGAGTGAGAAGCGTAATTGTAGGCTCAAAACTGTAACTATTAACCCAAAACCGTAATGGTTGGCATCTCTGGTAGTAGTTTCAAGCAATTGCTTACCGGCACAAGATGGGTCTGATAGTTTTCCTCAAGTCTCTGTCGTAGCCACAGGAAGTCATTGTAACGCCTCCTCACTGCATACTCCGACGTATCAAACTGACTTCTAGTTGTCTGCAGATTAAATCAATATATCAATTAGATAGCTGGTATAAGAAGGTCACAACAGGGATGTATTTAGGCCTGCTCAGAGGCTGATATTCGGCCCCAAGTCTGAAGCAAATGTCAGTAAATTTTCCCAAACTGGAACAAACAATTTGCCAAGTCATAATGTTATGGTAATAACTTATGTTATTGCTTTTCAGAGGTGACTGCATTTCACAACTAACAGGACCAATAAACTAAAAGAGGCCTTAATGTTTAGTTTTACACTTTTGAATTGAATGAAATATTAAAATACCCCTGAATTTATGAACATACTTGGAGTTTTAAGTAAATCCAACTTTTGAACCAAATTTCAAATCCTGACACAATGAATGAGTGAGTGAATGTTGTTTTATGCAGTAGCCAGCAATGTTCCAGCTATATCTCCGCGGCTTGTAAACAGAGACTGGGCCGCCCGAACCACTGATCTCTAGGGAACTACTCAACTCCCCACAGGTCCCCACAGGGTCAGAGTACTGTCCTTAGAATCCTCACAGGGAAACTACACATCCACATCACTGTCTTCCTGTCGTAGCACTTCACCACAATGTGAGTGCATGAGTAGTCTTCAAAAGTTATGATGTGTTTTAAGAAAAGTACAACAATATTCACTGTAAATAAAGTAAAAACACTACATAATTCCTTTCATAAGCATATGTGTAGGATCAAAACAGAATCCCCTCTACAGCAATAATTCTGAAAGTTTACTAATTAGTAGAGTATACATGTATGAGATATTACGCGTATTATCAACATTACAGCATGTACCTATAGAATAATAAATAGAATCTTGCCATCGTGTTTTTCATATCAAATATATCATCACATCTTGCAAAACATTTATACATTTATCCACTCATGCTGATATAATTGATACCAAAATACACTCTGGTGAGATTCTATATGACAACTTGTTGTCCTTCATGTCCCACTCCCCATTTCAACCTGCAATATTGCATATGGTATACAGCACCGTTCTATACTGCGTGTCTCATTCCCTACATCACCCTATTATAACACATTTATCATATTTTTCTACTTAGACAGTAAAGTCTGAGATTTTTTGACACAAACAAAGCATATGGTTACTTGGGTACTTCACATTAACATCCAACAGTATTTAATGCTTGTTATTCCTAAATCAGGTCAATACAGCTCACCTTTGTGGACACCCTGAATGTGATATATGACTCGATTGTTCCTGTGTGCTTCTCTGGATTGTCCACAATCACAAAGAGGTCCTTTGTCTCTCCATCTAAGTCATCGTCCAGACGGAAATTGGCGATCAGACTGGAACTTCTTGACACTGTGATGTCGGACCTTGCCGAAGCATCCAGGTCAAGACTCTCCATCTGTCACAAAAACAACCAAGAAAACAGTGTTATCATTATCCACGCCATGGGGCACATTAGAAGTTTGTTTGTTCATACAGTAGTGAATATACACGGAGAAAGGGAGGTAAACTCCTGAACAAAAACATTACGGCATCAGTCTTGACAAGCTCACTGGAACTTTTCATGAATGACCTAATTGCAAGGATTCAAAAAATTATTAAACCCACTGTGAGGAACTAGGCTTGATCGGGTGCCACTTGTAAATTGTGGTTTGTGACATTTTTCACTATTTACCATATATCTTGTACAAGTTCCTTTGTCTAGTGTTAAACATGTCAACAGTTCTCGGACAACACTGCATCGATCCTTTTGCAGACAATTCAAAATAGCATGACATTTTCAGTACTCTATTAATATGGATATAAAGTTTCATTGATAATATTTGAAAAAATTATGGATACATCTCGTATGATCCAGAAATGAACACGACAACTCATCTGGTTTTTAAGTTAAAGTCTGGTGATGAAAGTAACCTGTATTTGGGTTAAGTCCAACTTGTTGCCAAAGAAACAGCAAAAGGCACCAGTTGAGCATGTGTTTGATACATATGCAAAGCTTCATAATATCATATTAAACTGTTCGCGAGTTATGATCTGGAAACGAATGCTATGCATACTTGAGTCTACCTCTGGTTTGTTGCCAAAGAAAAACAACAAATATATTGTTTAGAAATAGCGAAACATCAAAAGGCACCACATCAGCATGTATTTTGAAACATATATAAAGTATCCTAATAAAATATTAAACGGTTTCCTAGTTATGCTCCGGAAAGGAACGCTACACATATTTGAATCTAAGTCCAGTTTGTTGCCATGGAAACACAATATTTTTATCAGAAATACCAAAACATGAAAAGGCTCCAGTTAAGCATGTGTATAATACATGTGCAAAGTTCTGTAATAAGATATTGAATGGTCTCTAAATTAACGTATGCTCCGGAAACACAATGGGACGGATGCACGGATGGAAGGAGGGACAGCACCCATTTTTATATCATTCTCCCACATTTCATGATGGGGGATTACCCGAATGATAACTTACTTATTATGCTTAGGCGATATATTTCAAAACAATTGGGTTACCAATACCAAGGATTAATCTAGACCAGCTCAGAGGCTGATATTTGGCCCCAAGTGTGCAGCAAATGTCAGTAAACATTCCCAAAAGGGAAAGTTAAAATGTAAAATTCATGTCATTATATAGTTATAACTAATGTTATTGCTTTGCAGAGGTGACTTGTATTTCACTGATAAAAGGATCAATATACAAGAAGAGGCTTGATTTTTTTAGTTTTACATTTTTGCATTGGATAAAATAATAAAATACCCCCGTAATGATGTAAATAAGGAGTTTTAAGAACATTCCACTTTTCAACAAATTACATATATTTCCCAATTTTTCTGACAAATATGCCAAAGGCGCTTAGCTTATAATCCTATTTTTGAAGGAAGGTGCTTTAAAAATAAAGCTGAATTGTTTTAGAAAGTTGACATCTGACTCAAGACTCACATCATTCACTTAAATTAGGTGGTGGTGTCCTCAGATCTTCACGTAGAAAGACATCATACCAGAGTAAAGATCTGATCTTAATGAGATTGAGATAGTGTATATAACATCAATAATAATAAAATGGTACAGCATTTCGTTTATGTTCATTTTCGGGATATGGAAGCTCGTTTGAATGCTTTGCAGAGAATTTAGAAGCCGCGATACTGATTGGATGATTACAAAGTTCACCTGACGACCTCCTATGGAGGTGTCCATTGATCCTCACACAGATGAGTAAAAGATCTGATTTCTTTAAAATAAGATTAAAAACATTATTTCCTTTCACCATTTAAACATCTACAGCAATAATCAGTATTATTCTGGAGGCTCCTTCATGAAAAATGTCAAACAAAAACTTATTAGCATAGATATTTCTCCTGAACCATAACCTGGTTATTGCAATTAACATGATTCAGACTTGTTATGATAGAACACTTCAAAACTTTCATTTGTTTGTGTACTGTACACGTCATGACAATAATAAGACATAAATAGAACATGCATGAACATCCTTCAACAGTATATATCTTTACATGATTAATAGGGAACTTTAAATCCATATTGTTTGAAAATATAGTTTAAACCAATGATTTATTAACTATAATACAACTGTTTACTATGTCTTTTAAGTTTTGTGTAAGGAAGACATCTATAATTCATATGCAAAACAAAATAAAAAACAAAGAACTTCACATGTTTACATAATTTGTTAGGTGTTTCTCTCAATGGACTATAAGAAATCTTTGTTCACACAGTTGTATCAACACTTCTTGCGTATGCTAATTGCTCCACTGATCTCAATTTCATCTACGATCTTTGTCTTTGTAAGTGTAATTTCTTGGCATGGCAGTTTATCAAACAGCTGTCCAATGCTATAAAAAAAATTCACCTGGCAATATGCAGTAGCCTACATACACATGAGAGTTACATGGTTGCAAATGCCAAATGTACGTGGTGCGTTTTTCCAAAGTTGATTGCTTCTAGGCCTATGTATACCTGTACTGGGGCAATAGTTACATTAGCTTCAAAATCACCCTTCAGCAGTTATACGATTATTTAGATAAGTCTTCAAAAACATGACAGCATTTGCACATACGTAGACATTAGCACATGGCTGCTAAGATGAAAATGAAACTATGTGCATTAGTCTGCAAAATGTACATAATTAGACTAATTAATATTGAATAAACAAAAACACAAGGGGGTGGATCTCTCCCGTTTTTACAAATGACATCAAATACATATTAGATAGGTTAGTTATGATTTCCTTACCCCGTCATCGTCACTATCTTTTTCAAGACCAGTTAGTAATGGATCTCTAAATTTGACATTGTCCTCCGACTGAGTGGAGGAATTGTTTTCTTCTTCTTTCAAGTCGACGCTACCTCCCGAATCAGCCATGTTTTGTCAATTATGTCCCTCCGATCATTCACAAATAGAGATATATAACAATATTTGTGATTGGTCAGAAATAGTAAATATTGAATAAGAACAGCCAATCAAGCAACAGTTATTATACCCTTATCATTTGACATTGATCTAAGCGGCGTAGAGTAAACGGGCACTTGTCACTGTAATCAGGAATTAATTCTTTGATTAAGTTGCAATTGCAATGGCCTTCCAAGCTCCACATACCGGTCAAGGTCTGTGTACTAGAATCCTACTTCTTTCGTTGATTGGAAATTTGTAATCAGCTGTAACAGAGCTAGAAACCAGTACTATGGCTTCACGTTCAAGTGGCACAGTTTTCGTTCACAAACATGCGCCAGTATGCTGATTCCCATGTTGTTGTGTTGATGGTTCAAATCTTATAAACTGATATGCAAAATGATGTCACTACTAGGATAGTCCCGTAAGAAAAGCTAGAGCATGTATTTTGTAGGATTTATATCACACTTCTACATCTTCGATTGAGTTTAAATCATAAAAAAATGGCAGCATTGTAGGTTACCGGTCGCAACTTATAGCGGCACAGGCTGCCGGTTGTGGATCTCCCTTCACAGATCTCGCGTGCCTCTTTGATCCTTAGGGTTATGTTAGGGTAGGTAACCCCCAACTGTAGCCTTAGCCCTTTCGATCAAACACCATTTCGCGATCCTTAGGGTTCGGCACCTGTTTATAACTCTTGGGATTATAGTTCTTAGTTTAGGCTGTATCTTTTTACGGAATTAATCATATGTAATTTGAGGAAAATCTGTACATTACTAATCAAGTTTTGATTTTCTTGGGGAAGCACATGAAGGTTAACAATCAGTGCATGATCACTTGGTAAACGAGCACCAATTATTTGTGATTGGTTAAGTGTTGGCTAATAAGATTAACTCATTAGCCTACCTTAGCTTCAACATTGTTCAAGCTGGCAACATGAGGTCAAACCTCCACACACCAATTATTGAAATCTGTAAGAGTGTACCTGTTAAAGGGGCACTAATCTCTGGCTTCTCAGCTGTCTCACACTAGGCGCTAGGGCTCACTTGCAAAGGGAACTTTGAATAAGTATTCCAGATCGAAAACAAAAAACGTTGCCGATTTTGAGGTGGGCGCCAATTTTATATTCAAACCCTGTACTGTTTTTGTTTTTTTCAATCTAGAATCGAAGTTTTGTTTTGATGAAATAAAGCATATGTATTTGGAGTAGATATAAGTGATTAAGGAGAATCTGATATGTTTAAAAAATACTTTATGATTTATAGCTAATTGTGGATGTAGAAGTGCGCTGTATATTCAGCTCAAATCCACCAACTGTTTCTAAGGGACGGTGTGTGGCCCCCAGTAGTGACAAAGAAATACTGATATAAAATGAGAAACGGAAAACACTAACCGCAGATAGATCACATAGTAAACTAGGGGTATATCAGTGTTCTATGCGACCTGTGTTATTGTTCATATTTTTCATGAGAAAGAAATAATTCATCTACAGGTTCATTTTATTCAAAAATTATTCTAGACAGCACAGTTTCTAAATCTAGCTATAAGATAGCTACGAGATAAATTGAAAAAAAACAATGAAGAACGAAGCGTGGTTTATTTCACGATAAAACATTGTTCTATTATGACATCATTTCAGGACATTCAAACATGTGCTTGCAAATTGATGACGTCGTAAATTTGACGTTATTTTATAGAGGGAAGTATCAAGTGAGTTGTTCCCCATAGATAGTGTTCAGGAACGCAGATAAACGCAATGACCGAAAGATCATAAAATGGACTTTTCCAACATTGCCAAGGTCGGTTTGTATTCAAGCAGCGTATGAAATTGGCAGTAATCCTGTAGTCCTTGCCAAACTGCCCAATAGTTAAGTTATCACAAGGACTAGTGAATATTTGCCATTATCAAGGGTTTTGCTATATGTTATCATTATAAGGACTAGTGGACAAAAACAGTTAGTTTCTATTGCTGTCAAGGAGTCATCATTATTTAAATACGAGAACCCATAGGATTGTGAAGGGGTGTTTTAATGGAAAGTGGTACCTTACTCTAAAAGGGGATAATAAACACGATAAAGGGTGTGCGCAATCGGAAAGGGGGATCCAAGGGTTATGAATATAGTTATAGTTAACCCACCTTAACCCGAACACAACAAACCGTAAGGATCAAAGACCCGTGAAAGATCAGTGAAGTGAGATCCACACATCAGTGTGAAATGGATTGGCCTGATAAATGTCCTTACCTTTGATCATCATTACATTCATACATTCATTGATGCAGTCAATGATCCAGACATTGCAAGGTGAACCGTTTGAGTTTTGTCACAACAATTTGTGTTTTGTGGAGTACAAATGATTTTTCTCCTATTTATTAGGGGTGACTATTGGTCTGGAAATCACTATTGCGATAACTATTGATATTGCAAGCAGCTATTGCGATAAATGTCGATAGTTTTCAGTGTATCATTTTAGATGGATTTAAGAGTTAAATTAAACTTTAGAACTGAAGTTTCTTTTGAATGTGATAACCATAACAAATAAAAAATAAAGTTTTAGATATGACTGATTTGTTTTTTCTTTACCCTAATAATTTAAGAAAAAGAAACTTCCATGTGTAAATTACTACCACTAATGTAAGGCGAGTTCTATGGATGAACAACTTCTTTATTACAATTGGTGCGACGTTTCGGTGTAGATCCTAACACCTTTATCAAGCAAGTGATGGATAGGGCTAAACAACATAGGTATATATACACTTATTGACATCTAAGTTGTTACAGTGACTAGTTGATGGGCACAGAGAGGTGATTAAGCTAATTGGAAGCCAGTGGGTGACTGATGAACACAGAGTATACTAGCAGAGTAAACAAGCTAACTGATGGAGATGATGGAAGCCACTGTATTAATTGGATGGACAAAGGGGTTGAGCAATTAGGTGATGGTAAGCAGGCGGGATGTAATAGCCTTGGTCTCTGTTCATTGCTGGCTGGATCCTTTTGATGTGGATGGCTTCTAGGAGTTTCCTGATTTTGTAGTCTGATTGGTTGTTGGCCAGGATCTTGATGTTGTTCCACTGGATGTTGTGATCGGGGTGGGTTTGGGTGTGGTCGAAGATGGCTGATTTTGAGTCATTTTTTGGTACTGAGGTCTTGTGTTCTTTTATTCTAATGGGTAGGGGCCTGGATGTTTCTCCTACATAGGAGTCGCCACAGTCACATTGTATGTGATATACGGCTCCAGCTGGGTCTTCTTTCTTAGATGTAGGGGGCTTGCCATTGGCGCTGAGGATGTTCTGGATTGTCCTGCCTCTCTGGAATACTGTATCAATGTTGACGTGGTGTTTGAGCAGTCTGCGGATCTGGTGGCTGGCTGTTCCTATGTAGGGAAGACTGATGACGAATGGGGCTGTCTGTTGTCGTGGAGGCCGCTCTCTAGGGCTGAGGATGCTGTTGATTGTTTGTTCAACTAGGCTGGTAGGGTAATTGTTGAAGTTAGTGAATACATGGCGGAGGTGGTTGAGTTCATTTTTTAGCTGTTGTGGCGTGGAACAGATGTTGACGGCACGTCGGGCTAAGGTGGCACCCTTAACTGTGACAACTTAGATGTCAATAAGTGTATATATACCTATGTTGTTTAGCCCTATCCATCACTTGCTTGATAAAGGTGTTACGATCTACACCGAAACGTCGCACCAATTGTAATAAAGAAGTTGTTCATCCATAGAACTCGCCTTACTTTCTCACTCCAACTTCTAAATGCCACTCAAAGAAGTTACTACCACTAATGATCAAACGATAAACAAATTTGAACAGCATTGCATGTATTTTATTGATTTGGTAAATACAATCGAAACTATCGATATTCCTAACTGAAATCGATACTATTGATCGGCAACTGATTTAACAATCGATTTATTGACTTTACGTGCTTACCAATAGCAATATATCAATATTTCAATTTATCGTGACACCCCTACTATTTATACAGGAACAATTTATTGGAAAAACAATCCCAGCCAACAAACCAATCCCTCACCCCCATGCCCTTCCCACCTTATTTTACTTATTTAATCTTTACATTATAAGTATGTCTCCAAACACATATACTGTATTCGATGTAATAAGCGCACAGGGCGTTCTCAAAATTAGAAATAGGGGGCTCTTCTTAGAATATTATTTTGGTGAAAAAAACAGATTTGAAAGATAAATTTCTTGGTTTATGCTGACAGCCTGAAATGTTTATATACGACAGATATATTTTTCCAGAATTTAATTGCACACAGTTAAGGGTGCATATTGCACAGGTGTGCATATTATACACGAATAAGTAAGTCTTGTGTACATTGATTAATCGGAAGGGGTGCTTATTGGGATTGTTCACTAGCCAATATATTAGCAAATACGCCGCGGGCACTTATTAGAGCAGGGCGCTTATTACGTCGAATACGGTATTGCGTGTATATTAACCTTACAACCAGTGGCATGTGGTCATGAAAACAGGATCATGATGGTAATCCCATTTTATTTTTTCTTCAGAACTTGCATCACGTGAGATGTTTCATGTTTATTTGCTTGTGTGGAACTTGTTCATATCATATCATATCATATCATATCATATCATATCATATCATATCATATCTCATAGTGCATAGACATTGATAAGCTTGTTCATCAGAAGATTGTCCATGAGTTTTAAGTAGAAGCTGTCTTCTAATGAATAAAACGTGTGATTATCACGTTTTTCAATCATATTCAGTTGTTCAGAAACTATGATAAGTTATAGTTTCCTGTAAGGTTGTCAAATATTAAAAGAGGTGGAAATATGACCTGTCATGTTTCTAGTTGAAGCAGTTTGTCATTAAAAGCTGTGTGGATGCATAAAAAGTTGTATCCCTTAGCAATACCAGGATCCGCTGACCATGAATTCCAAATTTGCTCCAGTTATGATCCTAAGATTTCTCAGCACTGTTCTCTTGCATCTGTTCATCAACAAACTGCATTACCTTGGAATTTCTCCAAGCCATGATGTAACCATGGTAACAGAAAGCCTGTCCAAGGTAGTGTTGTAAACAACTCCCTCATTCGATTGTACATGAGTGTTTCATACGTGTGAAACTTAAGAGGACCAGAAAACCAAGACTTTATCAGCCTAACATTCAGAAAAGGGATAGTGATGTAGGGATGTTGCATATATGAGCTGTTACATTATTATCATACTTATCATGCTTATGGTGGTCATGAACATTTACTTTGGTGCATGGATCGGGAAGAGTTCAGGACAAGACATACTTCTTGTGTCATTTAATGCAGGTGTGTTTATGTAACAAAACAAAAGAAAGTTTTGGTTTGGTAAGAAGTGATAGAGTGGATTTGGAATTTCGCAACATTTCAAGTCCATTTGGTGAGTAGATTATTTTATAGATAATGGTACAGTATTTCCTTGTCTGCTAGTTGAATAAAGAATCACCAAAGCCAGGGCCCATATTTCTTATCTATGGGATAATTACACCCTGCATTTGATATAACTGCTAAGTCTTCGCCTGAAAACTTGGTTTTCTTCTACCTGACTTCTCAGGGTATTATCATATTGCTGCAATTCTGAGTGATGACTTGGATCCTCTCTGTATAAATGTAACTGTTGACGAATATCAGTCTATGCCAGGCCCAAATACAGAATCGTGTCAGGATATGGTACCTCATATGTGATTGTGGCAATATAAATATCCTGAGAATATTTATGGATATTTTTTGGGGATTGCTATGATAATTATCTTCTCATCATCCTGTCACTCCTACGGTAAGACTGTTCATAATATACAGTGATATATCTGGTGTGGTTTCTGTTTGGGATTTGTGTCTGTGTGCACATATAGCACAAAGGAGAAAAAATGTGACAAAAGAATTTCATTTTTGACTTGATGTAAATTAAAACCATGCATGAAGCGGTGCAAATGTGCATGTTTTGCCATGTTAAGGCATTGAATATCTCCCCTGTTGCTCTCGAAATGAAGGTGACAATGAAAAAAGTAAACCGGAAAACTGCAATATTGGCTTCATGTGAATCTGATGTGTGATCGCCAGAAATGTTGCAAAATTTACAAGACTACTCAGAGAAAAGTGTGATCAAATTTGAAGCAGGTGAAGGTGCTGAGTGAAGGCCGGGAGCAGGACATTGGCTGACGTTCTGTGTGATACGAATCACGTGACCGTCTTGAAAATTCTGATTAAAACATTTTGGGCAGGTGATGGAAGATAATGTTGAAAAGGAGTAAGCACCGTGGCCAGCCAGTGTGTACAGACTGGTAACATTAATCATATGCAAGACATTGTTTGTGAGAAGATTTGTGCAAAATATGAATGAAACTCTGTAAATATTTATGAAATTATTGAACCTTGACATTGTCACATTTTTTCTGCTTGTTACTACATGTACCATGTATCTATGTATCTTTACCTGTTCTCAAGGCCAGTTTGAGATGATGTCGGTTCATCATGTTTGTTAAGACAAGACGTTATTAAACATATTAGCTTAAAATAGTTTTGGAAAGACTTTTTTACTGATGCTGTTATGAAATTAGTCGCTTGTTGTCACGTTTGTTGTGTTCGTATGACAGGGATCTTTAAATCGTCACCACCTCCATGGTCTAGTGGTAGAGCTTTTTCCCCGGAGAGCTGTAGATTGGGGTTTGACCACCGGGCGCATACCAAAGGATATTAAAAGATGGTACTTGTTGTTACCCTGCCTGGCACTTGGCATTAAGGGGCTGGAACAAGGACTGGCCAACTCGGAGTCCTAGTACTGTGTCTGAGTGGAGTATTCATGTCAAAGTACGGCATGGTATCTCAGTAGGCTAGCACTATAAATCAACATTAGTCTGGACTAGTACAAGCAGCCACCCACCTATGCCCACACACATAGAGTTAAAACTGCAGCTGGCTTCTTGAACCACTGATAGTGATGTACACATGGCATCAATATATAACATTTTTTATTGAGGGTCTATATTACTAGCATGAGTCATAATAAAAAATGACCCATGAAGATCCGGGGTAGAATAGATCTTCAGCAACCCATGCTATGCCATAACAGGCGACTATGCTTGTCATAGGAGATCGGTTAGTCAGGCCCGCTGACTTGATTGATGCATGTCATCGATCCCAATTGCGTGGATCGATGCTCGTGATATTAATCACGGGATTATCTGGTCCAGACTTGATTATTTACAGACCACTGCCATATAGCTGGAATATTGCTGAGTGCGGCGTGAATCAACAAACCAACCAACCAACATAATAAAAAATGTATATTTTTATGTTTAATTTATATTTTATCCAGCTGCTTCTCAGTAGGGGTGTTGGGCCCATGAAAATATATAAAAAATGTGTGGTCTAATGTTAAAATGATTAGTTACAATGGCAGGAGGGAAACACTGTACATTATTGTAATTTTAATTTATGATACCAGTTTATGGCAATCACTTCATATAAATTCTATGTTAAATGTTAGATTTAAAATAATGTTTGAAACTTACTGAAAAGCATAAAGTTGGTATCCTCCAAAGTGTAAACAATATGCTTATGTACCATGACAGTTAATCTTCACTGATACGTCATATTTTGTTTGATCACAATTTTGGATATGTGTGGATCTCCCAAACTATTAAGGAAACAAATGCCTTCCTTAGAATCTTAAAGAATGTAGCTATCAATATGTCCTTCCAAACTTCCAGAACAGTACTCTACAATGTAGCTCAAGATATTGTATGTCTAACATGTCTAAAGAATATATTGAAGAGTCAATTGAAACCTAAACTATTCCTTAATGTTATAACTGAGAGAAAATGTAGAAACATTTTACAGTTAATGATGACGATGGTAGAATATTGATCTGTCATTACAAATTTGTCAAATCTAATCTTGGAATAGAAGATGAATATCATGAATAATATATGCATGCTATGATAATTTAAGACTGCGTTATCTCCCCAACACATACTGCCATAAACCCAATATGATTTAATTGAAAACCATTTTGTTAGAAAAATAAAACTGTCCTAAGAAATGTATGTACATTTGTCTTCCATAGATACAAGAACAGACAATCCATATTGAATAAGCAGATCCCTGATACCATTGTATATATTTGTATGCACCAAACTGTATGTATTGCATTGTATTTGTTATGTGTATGTTACTGTACCCTACCTTGCTTTGAACTGTGGAAGCATCAGTTAATGAGCTGAGATTTAAATCTTGCTGTGTCATTTTCAGAGAAACAGAACCGTAAGATTCTGGAGCAGCTTGAGGAGCAGAAGAAGAGGCTAAGGATGGCAGCTCAGGGAGGGGGCGTGGCAGGAGCTGCTGGGGCAGTCATAGGAAACTCAGCCAACCTCAACCCAGCCCCACCCCCTTCTGCCTTACCCGGGGTAGTCGCTGGGTAGGCATTTCACTGGGTGCACATCTCCCCTTTTTCAGACACTTTTTGTGTCAGCTTATCATGTGACTTGGGTACTGTGCACTCCCTTGTTCTGTATCCTGTATCTGGATGTGTTGAAGCTGTGAAGGTGTATCAGTTGTAGTGGGTGTCAGCGTATCATGTGACTTGGGTACTATGCACTCCCTTGTTCTGTATCCTGGATCTGGATGTGTTGAAGCTGTGAAGGTGTATCAGTTGTAGTGAGTGTCAGCGTATCATGTGACTTGGGTACTGTGCACTCCCTTGTTCTGTATCCTGTATGTGGATGTGTTGAAGCTGTGAATGTGTATCAGTTGTAGTGGGTGTCAGTGATGGATTAGGTTAATTTGAACCCAGACCCACTCCCTTCTGAAATGTCCCAGTGTGGTACCACAAGATTCCAATCTGTGCCTCTATCCTCTTGATTCCCCTTTGTTATGATCTGTGGTTTTACCAATTAGGTAACCCTGTGACTGTTGAGGATTATTGGTAAGATAATTTGAAAAAATCGACCCCCAAAACCACAGTTATGTAGGTGTAACCTGGGTTGTTCTATGGTTTCCACATTGTGTTAGTTGATGCTCCTGTTATCAACTTTTAGTTTGCCTGGCAAAACCTTGAATTGTTACAATCTCCTGTGGTGATATGGTTTAAAAGTGTAAGCATGGTAAATATCTACAGCCTATGCTCCTTGAGTTATTTTGATCTATAAACCATGATAACACTGAAGTACTGTACATAGAGATGTGTAATTCCATGTCACCCACTGACTGTTTCAGAGGACCGACCGTCCAACAACCACAGCTGACCAACTTGCATGTGAGTTCACATTACATCATATCCCTATGGAGCTTACCCTTGTGGATATTCTAACCAATGTTTGAAATAACCGCCTGCCCACCAGCCCAAGGCTGGTAACTTTTCTGTCGGGCTGCATGAAATTGACCTCCACCTGCCTGACTGTCTGGCAGATAATGTTAAGACTACTTACAATTCAGTTTAATTATAACTCCTTGTAGGTTGTATGCATTATTTCAACTGAATCAAGACGCAGTATGTCTCTTATTATTTGAGATTTCTCAACATTCATCATGTCTGAATGTGGGCAGGTAACTTTGAAAATGGGAAGGCAACACTTACGGGTCACCTGCTCGACTGTCTTGTTGGGTTTTAAGATTATTTCAAACACTGACTTTAACAGGGGCACTACTCAATGACGATGATTCTTGATTTGACAGCATCCTACTTGTGCTTGTAGATTTCACTGTAAGTGTCCTACATCACTTCAGGCTTTCCTCTCATGTCAAACTTACTGTTACATGCCATGATATGACTTGAACAACAAGTAACATGAATAAAACCAGAATATGTTGGCCTATAAAGTAGCATAAGTGAAGGGTTGATCTGAAGGAGATGTAATGATCTGAGTGAGATGTATGTGATCTGAGTGAGATGTGTGTGATCTGAGTGAGATGTGTGCAATGCTTCTAATGATCTGAGTGAGATGTGTGCGATGCTTCTAATGATCTGAGTGAGATGTGTGCGATGCTTCTAATGATCTGAGTGAGATGTGTGCGATGCTTCTAATGATCTGAGTGAGATGTGCATGATCTGAGTGAGATGTGTGCAATGCTTCTATTGATCTTAGTGAGATGTGTGCGATGCTTCTAATGATCTGAGTGAGATGTGCATGATCTGAGTGAGATGTGTGCAATGCTTCTATTGATCTTAGTGAGATGTGTGCGATGCTTCTAATGATCTGAGCGAGATGTGCATGATCTGAGTGAGATGTGTGCAATGCTTCTAATGATCTGAGTGAGATGTGTGCGATGCTTCTAATGATCTGAGTGAGATGTGTGTGATCTGAGTGAGATGTGTGCGATGCTTCTAATGATCTGAGTGAGATGTGTGCGATGCTTCTAATGATCTGAGTGAGATGTGTGTGATCTGAGTGAGATGTGTGCAATGCTTCTATTGATCTGAGTGAGATGTGTGCGATGCTTCTAATGATCTGAGTGAGATGTGTGTGATGTTTCAGATGATCTGAGTGAGATGTGTGTGATCTGAGTGAGATGTGTGCGATGCTTCTAATGATCTGAGTGAGATGTGTGCGATGCTTCTAATGATCTGAGTGAGATGTGTGTGATCTGAGTGAGATGTGTTCAATGCTTCTATTGATCTGAGTGAGATGTGTGCGATGCTTCTATTGATCTGAGTGAGATGTGTGCGATGCTTCTAATGATATGAGTGAGATGTGTGTGATCTGAGTGAGATGTGTGCTATGCTTCTAATGATCTGAGTGAGATGTGTGCGATGCTTCTAATGATCTGAGTGAGATGTGTGTGATCTGAGTGAGATGTGTGTGATCTGAGTGAGATGTGTGTGATGATTCTATTGATCTGAGTGAGATGTGTGCGATGCTTCTAATGATATGAGTGAGATGTGTGAGATGTGTGTGATCTGAGTGAGATGTGTGCTATGCTTCTAATGATCTGAGTGAGATGTGTGCGATACTTCTAATGATCTGAGTGAGATGTGTGTGATCTGAGTGAGATGTGTGTGATCTGAGTGAGATGTGTGCAATGCTTCTATTGATCTGAGTGAGATGTGTGCGATGCTTCTATTGATATGAGTGAGATGTGTGAGATGTGTGTGATCTGAGTGAGATGTGTGCTATGCTTCTAATGATCTGAGTGAGATGTGTGCGATGCTTCTAATGATCTGAGTGAGATGGGTGTGATGTTTCAGATGATCTGAGTGAGATGTGTGTGATCTGAGTGAGATGTGTGCGATGCTTTTAATGATCTGAGTGAGATGTGTGCGATGCTTCTAATGATCTGAGTGAGATGTGTGTGATCTGGTTGAGATGTGTGATGTTTCAGATGATCTGAGTGAGATGTGTGCGATGCTTCTAATGATCTGAGTGAGATGTGTGCGATGCTTCTAATGATCTGAGTGAGATGTGTGTGATCTGAGTGAGATGTGTTCAATGCTTCTATTGATCTGAGTGAGATGTGTGCGATGCTTCTATTGATCTGAGTGAGATGTGTGCGATGCTTCTAATGATCTGAGTGAGATGTGCATGATCTGAGTGAGATGTGTGCAATGCTTCTATTGATCTTAGTGAGATGTGTGCAATGCTTCTAATGATCTGAGTGAGATGTGTGCGATGCTTCTAATGATCTGAGTGAGATGTGTGCGATGCTTCTAATGATCTGAGTGAGATGTGTGTGATCTGAGTGAGATGTGTTCAATGCTTCTATTGATCTGAGTGAGATGTGTGCAATGCTTCTATTGATCTGAGTGAGATGTGTGCGATGCTTCTAATGATATGAGTGAGATGTATGTGATCTGAGTGAGATGTGTGCTATGCTTCTAATGATCTGAGTGAGATGTGTGCGATGCTTCTAATGATCTGAGTGAGATGTGTGTGATCTGAGTGAGATGTGTGTGATCTGAGTGAGATGTGTGAGATGTGTGTGATGCTTCTATTGATCTGAGTGAGATGTGTGCGATGCTTCTAATGATATGAGTGAGATGTGTGATCTGAGTGAGATGTGTGCGATGCTTCTAATGATCTGAGTGAGATGTGTGCGATGCTTCTAATGATCTGAGTGAGATGTGTGTGATCTGAGTGAGATGTGTGTGATCTTAGTGAGATGTGTGCAATGCTTCTATTGATCTGAGTGAGATGTGTGCGATGCTTCTAATGATATGAGTGAGATGTGTGAGATGTGTGTGATCTGAGTGAGATGTGTGCTATGCTTCTAATGATCTGAGTGAGATGTGTGCGATGCTTCTAATGATCTGAGTGAGATGGGTGTGATGTTTCAGATGATCTGAGTGAGATGTGTGTGAACTGAGTGAGATGTGTGCGATGCTTCTAATGATCTGAGTGAGATGTGTGCGATGCTTCTAATGATCTGAGTGAGATGTGTGTGATCTGGTTGAGATGTGTGATGTTTCAGATGATCTGAGTGAGATGTGTGCGATGCTTCTAATGATCTGAGTGAGATGTGTGTGATCTGAGTGAGATGTGTGATGTTTCAGATGACCTGCATGAGATGTGTGATGTTTCAGATGACCTGAGTGAGATGTGTGATGTTTCAGATGACCTGAGTGAGATGTTTCAGATGACCTGAGTGAGATGTGTGATGTTTCAGATGATCTTGGTGAGATGTGATGTTTCAGATGACCTGAGAGAGATGTGTGGTGTTTCAGATGATCTGAGTGAGATGTGTGATGTTTCCGATTACCTGAGTGTGATGTGTGTGATGCTTCTATTGATCTGAGTGAGATGTTTGATGTTTCAGATGACCTGTGTGAGATGTGTGATGTTTCTGATTACCTGAGTGAGATGTGTGATGTCTCAAATGACCTGAGTGAGATGTGGAATGTTTGAGATCACCTGAGTGAGATGTGGAATGTTTCAGATCACCTGAGTGAGATGTTTCAGATGATCCGAGTGAGATGTGGGATGTTTCAGATGACCTGAGTGAGATGTGGGATGTTTCAGATGACCTGAGTGAGATGTGGAATGTTTCAGATGACCTGAGTGAGATGTGGAATGTTTCAGATGACCTCAGGGAGATGTGTGATGTTTCAGATGACCTGAGTGAGATGTGTGATGTTTCAGATGACCTGAGTGAGATGTTTCAGATGACCCGAGTGAGATGTGGAATGTTTCAGATGACCTGAGTGAGATGTGTGATGTTTCAGATGACCTGAGTGAGATGTGGAATGTTTCAGATGACCTGAGTGAGATGTGGAATGTTTCAGATGACCTGAGTGAGATGTGTGATGTTTCAGATGACCTGAGTGAGATGTGGAATGTTTCAGATGACCTGAGTGAGATGTGGAATGTTTCAGATGACCTGAGTGAGATGTGGAATGTTTCAGATGACCTGAGTGAGATGTGGAATGTTTCAGATGACCCGAGTGAGATGTGGAATGTTTCAGATGACCCGAGTGAGATGTTGGATGTTTCAGATGACCTGAGTGAGATGTGGAATGTTTCAGATGACCTGAGTGAGATGTGGAATGTTTCAGATGACCTGAGTGAGATGTGGGATGTTTCAGATGACCTGAGTGAGATGTGGAATGTTTCAGATCACCTGAGTGAGATGTGGAATGTTTCAGATCACCTGAGTGAGATGTGGAATGTTTCAGATGACCTGAGTGAGATGTGGGATGTTTCAGATCACCTGAGTGAGATGTGGGATGTTTCAGATGACCTGAGTGAGATGTGGGATGTTTCAGATGACCTGAGTGAGATGTGGAATGTTTCAGATCACCTGAGTGAGATGTGGAATGTTTCAGATGACCTGAGTGGGATGTGGGATGTTTCAGATGACCTGAGTGAGATGTGGAATGTTTCAGATGACCTGAGTGAGATGTGGAATATTTCAGATGATCTGAGTGAGAGGTGGGATGTTTCAGATGACCTGAGTGAGATGTGGAATGTTTCAGATGACCTGAGTGAGATGTGGAATGTTTCAGATCACCCGAGTGAGATGTTTCAGATGACCCGAGTGAGATGTGGAATGTTTCAGATCACCTGAGTGAGATGTGGAATGTTTCAGATGACCTGAGTGAGATGTGGGATGTTTCAGATCACCTGAGTGAGATGTGGGATGTTTCAGATGACCTGAGTGAGATGTGGGATGTTTCAGATGACCTGAGTGAGATGTGGAATGTTTCAGATCACCTGAGTGAGATGTGGAATGTTTCAGATGACCTGAGTGGGATGTGGGATGTTTCAGATGACCTGAGTGAGATGTGGAATGTTTCAGATGACCTGAGTGAGATGTGGAATATTTCAGATGATCTGAGTGAGAGGTGGGATGTTTCAGATGACCTGAGTGAGATGTGGAATGTTTCAGATGACCCGAGTGAGATGTGGAATGTTTTAGATTACCTAAATGAGATGTTTCAGATGACCTGAGTGAGTTGGGATGTTTCAGATGGGTGTAGACCAGCAGCACATGACGCCACAGCAGAGGGCAGCCTTGCAGGTGAGGTCAGCTCCACGGATGGGATGGGGAGGATTAAACAAAACACGTACATAGTGTATTACAGACTTTCAATTCCTCAGGCAACTTTTAAATGCGAACATTTCTTCTCCTGAAACTATGTGGTCACTGGTCAAAATAAAAATCAAAGCTATATTTTGAAAACCAAGTTTTCTCTAACCCTAAGACTCTGTGTGGCCGTTGTCACACGGAGAGCAGGATAATTGTATGCCCAGCTTGTGTGTCGGCTACCATTCAGTAGGAAGAGCCATATTTTGATTGCCCTAATCACATGCTTTACAGTGAAATAAAATGAGTTTTGATATGATGCATCTTTCATCAAGATATCATAGACCCTTTTTTATAGTTTATATTCACTGCTATATGAATAAACAAAATTCTAATGTGCCCCAAGGTAGGGGATAGTGATAACCCTGTTTTCTTGTTTAAACTTCGAACAACCACAACACCATACTGAAGTCAGACAGATGCATTATGTCAAACCAAAACCTGAATAAGGAGATCTTCTGATATAAAAATCAAACCTTATGTTTTGCGCAGGAATTTACGTTCAAAGAATTGGCTACATTCCAACTGGTAAACGGAAACATTTTTCCAACGTTCTTTCAATATTCTCTGAAGTAATTTGTGAATCTCCATCTAAAGTTTTATAATTCATTATGAAAGTACACATTAAGTATGAATATAGCCTCAGATACTTAAATCTTTGGGTTGATTGCAAAACTTAAACATTAAGTTGGGTTGTGCAATTTTTGAAAATGTAACTATCATGATAGGACTTTAACCGGTTAAAAATGGAAATACCGGTTACTTGATTGAGATCAGTACCCTCATATAAGATTCCTCAGTTTGATTCCTGATAATATAAACTTGAAATTCCATTACAAATATTTTAAAATATGTATATGTGATTATTGGATGAGGAACATTGTTAACTGGAAAGTAACATACATAGCTTGATGTTATCAAGTTCTTATCATCTGATTTTCCAGCATGCTCATGCCAACTCGGTGGGATATTTCATCACTCAGGACTCGTCGTTTGGTAATCTCATACTGCCTGTGTTACCAAGATTTGAAACCAAGTCCTGACAGGGGGGATAACTCTGAAGGCAAAATGTGCTCTAGAAGTATTTGTGCTGGGCCCACTTGCACTAAGAAAGTTTAGTTGCAATTGATCTTAGGAGCTTACAACCATCTTTACAATGGCCATACCTAAGTCTTAGTCCACTTGCACAAACCGATCTTAGCAGGGTTGTAAGACTGCTTGGATTTGAGATCGTGATCTTAGCTAAGATCAAAGTCTCCAATGGTGGAGGTAGGAATATCTTAAGCTCGTCTCTCCTGTCTAAAGTTGTTTATAACAGTGCATAGCTTGCTGTGCATACCAACAGTGGTACCGGTTACGATATACTACATGTACCTCCCTCCGTGACACCTTGTAGTTTTAAAATAGGTCTCAAGTCATTCAAGGAAATGACTCTGACTTTGTGCATTGATACTGTCTTCAGTTAGGAATTGTGACTTTGATATTGCAACAGGAGAAATACCCTACCCATGTTTTATGAAAATGTTGAAGTACAAATGAACACCTCCATACATATGAATGTACCATAAGAGAAATATACATGGTAGGTGGATCTCAGCAAGTTTACAACAAGGGTATACATTGGGCAAGGTCATCCATGGTAGTGTTTGAGATAAAAACAATTGTCAGGCCGCCATGAGGACCCACAGACTTCAGAAGCTGCAGGCCCTGACTAAACTCTTCAGGTCCGCACTTTAAAAACAGCAGCCTATTGTGACAAATACTTTGACACGTAAATTTACTGCAGGTCTTTAAGACCCATACAACTTTAAAACTTATGGCCCGAGTCAAGGTCTACCTGCCACAGACCTCCAGGCAGTCTTACTTCGAACATTGCTTCACGGTTGACGGCATATATACAGAGGGAAACCATGCCCATTTACCGTATGAACTAAGATAAGTTACCCAAATGGTCACAGCCATTACTATAGCTTACAGACACCTTATGTTTTTATCCTTCCCTTGATTATCGAAAAAGTGTGTTTAACGCTTCTTTCAGTATAGAGTCGGTGGGAATGGTATCAACTAAATGGTTATGTGGTTCACTATTGCAAATAACAAATTATGTTATGTGAAATCTGGATCGTTTTTGTTGAAGTGTTCAATCGAATTTCACAAAATTTAACAAAATGTATGGGCGATGTAAATTAGATAATTTTTGTGTATAGATCCCATTTTGTGAGTGATTCAGGGACTACAATGATATTAGCTGGTTAGGATTGGTTTGGACCAATTGGAAATGTTGCTTGTAGCTTACAATGATATTAGCCTAAAATTACTTTGTGCAAATGGATAGAGATTGTAGCTGAAGCTTAAAATAAGATTGTGATCTTAACCTTTACAATAATCGTAGTGCTAAGATTGTTTTGTGTGAGTGGGCCCTGGTGATGTAAAACTGTCACAGTGATATTGACACCGACAGTCAAGTGATGAAATGTGTTGATGTTCTATCATCGGTGAAATAGACATGGAGGATTTCATCGGTGAAATAGATGCCCGTTTGCACCGGGACCTGGATGTGAGACTGACAAAGGATTAAGCAATGCAGCCATGTTGCCATGGCAGTAGAAATATCTTCTTTTTCTGATGATATCTGAGAAGATTTTATTTTACAAAGGTGTTATGAAATTTATCTTTTTGTATCAAATATAAAAATTCTGAAATATTATGTTATACTACCTTGGACGCATTTTGAGATTATTGACTGATGATTTTGTAATAAAATATCTATGGACAATTTGTGTTTTGTGCTGAATGAATGTCAATGATGTTCACAACCATGAGCCTTCCTGGACCCATAATGCAGCATCTTCCCGAGGCAAGGGAGTTGACTGACTGTAAAAGTCCAGTTTCCACCCTTGCGGAACTAGATGGAATTTCATGGCTCGATCATGGTGCCACCAGTGGCTATTATGAGTTATGTCCCTTCTATGTCCCTCCTATTGACCAATCAGATTCAACCTCTCATATCACTGCAGTTGCTTCAAACAAAATAGCAGCATCCAGTCAAGACCATCTGATCGATAATCAATATCTGTGTTGTATTATAACAGCTCTTACTTCTCAAAGTGCATTGAGTCATTTAAGCGCCTTGATCATAAACGTGAAAAGATTTGGAAAAAATCTATTGACACCGAGATACTCAGTGAAATTATATTCCCAGTGGAATAATTAACTCCTGTGTTCATATAATTTCCTATGAACAATATATCACAGAATTCACCTCATGTAAGAAATAAGTTTATTAACAAAATATAAACATATAAAACAAAGCAATAAATAAGTGAACAAACTGTTAAGATCACAGTTATTTCACATATCCTTTCTAGATTTTGGAACAAAAACCAAATCCCTTATATCATCACGCCTGTTAGTGTCCCATAGAAAGATCAACCTATGTTACCTTGCCACATTATGCAGGTACCAGATCGTTAATATACCTTGCAGTAATTGAATACAGAGGTTATCAGGGATTTATCTAGACCTGCCCAGAGGCTGATATTCGGCCCAAAGTCTGCAGCAATAGTCAGTAAAAATTCCCAAATGGGAATTAAAGGTTCTCATTTCATGTAACTACAGTAATGCTTGGTACAGGTGACTTGTATTTTACTGATAACAGAACCGAAAATGATATTTAATTTTACATGATTGTATTAAATACCAGTACATTGTTACAATGCAATTTAAAATGCCTCTGAATATAAGAAGAAATTTTTAAATTCCAGCTTTGAACAAAATGAAACCGTTCAAGGCACAGAGACTACATTTGGCAACTTTTGGACAATATTTTATACTTTCAATCCTGCTCACGTTACACATTTTTCATGATAGAAACAACAGTTCTGACTTTGTTCAGTTTACTGTGACAACTGAGTTAGGTAATTCCCAGGTAAATACAGTGAAGCCATAGTTTAAGAAAAGATCATGGAAAAGCTATGGCAGAAATAACATTAAGATGGTTAAATATTATCTTCAAAGACTACCTGAAAAGATACCAGGATAGAACTGAATCATCCTCATTTATTCAGGGAATAATCTCCGTATACATTGTTATACTAAATACCCTCACCAAATAGCACAGAATCTCTCCCACTCATCAACAGCCAATCAAAATCACTCTTTTGAACAAGAGTTTGGCATAGATCTAATTTTAGAATTGTGGTCTCGTACATGCATCCATCAAAATCTAGACGTTTTCCCGAGTGTTAAGATAAGGGGAGGTAAGTCTTTATCCTATGAGGTGTTCCCAGTTGTATTTGGGACGGTATGCAACATCATAGTCACTGACTGGTGATATCAACGCTTGGTTCAACCATGAAAGAACAGTTAGTTTCCCTTGACAACGTTTTATCTCTGGGCCGAGGGTATTTATGGAACTTGATATGATACCCTAGATAAAAGAGACATGTATACTATGTTCCCCAGAAAACGAGATAAATTTGTCTGACGCAATCAGTAGCAAATGTTGTCTCCCACTTGTACTTCAGTTCTGTGCATGATGCTAGTCTGTGAGATCAAGTAGATTGGTGTTGAGATTAACTGTCACTCTCTTCCTCAGTTTACTGAAGGTGCCGCTCCGTGTCAAACCCGGCACCGACCCTCGGTCCTGAACGTGAGGCTCTTCCTCCACCTCATGGCTCAGGATACCGATAGACTTGTGGTTTCTTTTCTTCCTCTTTTTCTTTCTTGGAGAGTTGGAGTCATCACTAAACAAACACATATTTACAAAATTGTAATTGTTTTTTACATGTTATAGGAAGTTTGTTTTGACTTCATAAAATGTACTGAAACGCCAGAATATGTGTCTGAAACGTCAGAAGGACACTTGTAGATGATGTTTCTGTTAGAGAATAGAGGAAGAATCAGACATCTGAGTCATTTCAGCGACTTTGCACAGTGTGACCCTGTTGGAATTCTAAATTTAGCTGATTGCGTGTCATCATACCCTGATGGTGTGGGATGTTCATGATATCAAGCACTGTTTTTTCTGACCAAGGCTCAATTATACAGAGGCTACTGTCATATAGTTGAAATATAGCTGAGTGCAGTGTTAACAAAAGAAATAACTGACCCATTCTGAGGACTTGTATGAGCAGTATCAGCCTCTGTGCCAACGTTACCATCAGTGCCATCTCCTGTAACCATGGTAACAGAGCGAACTGTTTAATTTGCTATTTAGGCAAAGATATTCAAGTGATCTAGTTCATAGTTTTAGATGATTTAACATGGTTCATGATTTCACATCCTCGGCGGGGTGTTGCGTGTAAAGTAGGTTTCAGTACACCATACTTGCCATAAAAGTCGACTAAAATGGGAACATTACAGTGAACGGACTCGTGGTGTACTTGCTCATGCTATCAACCATTGATAAAAGGTGGGGAATAATAATAATAATCATCATCATCATTATAATCATCATCATCAGGAATAATTTATTTTAGTTTAATTTAACACCTCAATGAACAGTATTTAAGTTACATCATGGCGTGTCAGCTTGAGGTGAGAGGAAAGCCCAAAGTGATGCAGTTCTTAGACATTTGCTAGACCCATAAATAGGGCAAATCTGGGACTAGAACTCACAATCATAGGTTTCTGGCACACCTAAGGGAGGCAACCCAACCATAGACAATGTATTCATATTCTGTTCAGTACTGGAAAATTATTATTTGGAAAATGAAATATATGGAAAATGCTATTATATAAAAATGCACTTCATACACTTATCAAATAGATACATGAGCACATAATGCACATTTCCCCTGTCCATCTTGTTTGTATTTTGTACAGGGGTTGTTTTCACACATGCAAGTTATCTCCCTTGATTTTGTATGCCATTGTTTGCAATCTTACCCGGTGGAGAAGGTCTGTTCCGATGTACAAGGCCCTCAAGTTGCCCAAGGATGGTCTTCATGTCGTGGTTGTGAGATGCTATCATGGCCTGCTGTTTGTGCTGAATGTCCTGTAATGTCAGCTGGAGACGGTATATCTCCCTGTGGAACACCATGTTGCTCAGCACCTGACTGTTGACCTGCAGAGACTGGTCTTGTTCCTACAATAGGATTCTCACTGATAAAAGTAATGCAAGGCAATAGTCCAGTCTAATGAGAACAGTGTGATAACGTTGGATTCAATTTGGTGTTAACAATAAGGGAGTTATTCACTGGTGCAAACCCAAAACATTCTACCAAATAATGATGCACTGCATTACTGTTTTATGTGATCATGGACAGGGCGTTTCAAAATGCAAATATTACTTTATTGTAAATACGCCGCACTCAGCAATACTCCAGCTGTATGACGGCGGTCTGTAAATAATCAAGTCTGGATCAGACAATCCAGTGTTTGACATCATGAGCATCGATCTATGCAATTGGAATAGGATGACATGCATCAGCCAAGTCTGCAAGTCTGACCACCAAATCCTGTTAGTTGCCTCTTATGACAAGCATAGTCACTATTAAGTGTTATAAGCAAAATATATACGGGTGTTCTCAATAACAGACTTTCCAATTGGGCAGAACTAAAGGACAAAATACCAGAGTCGCAGGCAGGTTCCCGATCTGGGTATTCCACCATCGATCATTTTTTTACTTTACACTCTATTATAGAAAAGTGTTTGATTAAAAGGAGGAAAAAACAATATGTTGCATTTATAAATTTTAAGAAAGCATTCGACTATGTAAAAAGAAATAAACTATGGTACTGTTTGCAATGTAATGGCCTGGGTGGAAAAATGTTATCAGCCCTAAAAGCCATTTACTGTTCTGTTAAATCTTGTGTTCGACAAACTTCCTCATGTACCGATTTCTTTGACTGTCCAAATGGTGTACGCCAAGGTTGCATACTTAGCCCTTTGCTATTTTCTTTATTTATAGGGGAACTTTCAAAAGCTATAAATGAAAACGGTAAACATGGCATACAATTATTTCCAGATATGTATGAAATTTTGTTACTGTTATTTGCAGTTGACGTCATCCTTGTCTCAGAATCTATTGCCGGTTTACAGACTCAGCTTAACATCCTTGGGGAGTTGACAGATACATGGGGATTAACTGTTAACATACAAAAATCAAACGTAGTTGTTCACAGAAGGGGAGGCACCTTATCTGCCAAGGAGAAATGGACATACAAAGACATCCCCCTGCCTATAGTTAACAGTTATAGGTACTTAGGTGTCATATTTTCTTCAACTTTCAAGATGACAAAGTGTATTGCTGATCTAGCAAATCGTGGAAAACGGGCTTTGATGGAAACAAATATAAATTTTAATAAAATAGTAATGATTGATCCAAAAGTATATTTTATAATGTTTGATACACAGGTATTACCAATACTTTTATATGGGTCAGAAGTATGGGGCTACCAGCGGTATGATCAATTAGAACGGGTTAATCTTTTGGCATGTAAAAGTTTTTTAAAGGTGGGAAAACAAACGCCAAATGCCATTGTCTATGGTGAATGTTGTCGCTACCCGCTTTATGTCAATGCGCAGGTCCGCATTATAAACTATTGGTTAAAATTAACCCGAATGCATGAAGGGCGTATCCCAAGAAAAGTACATGTATATAAGATGTTGATGTATTTCGACAACATTGGTCGTAATACTCGGGCAGCATCTCTTCGTAACATTTTATTTTCGCATGGTTTGGAATTTGTATGGTTAAACCAGTCTGTTGGGGACAACAGTCAAAACTGGATGTCAACACTCAACAGTAGTACCCGATAAATGATGTATAAAACACTGTTTGAAACTGAAAGATATTTGAGCATTTACAATGGCAAACATGTACGCAGTGTTTTTATTAAATTAAGATGTAACGTTTTACCTTTACGACAGAACGAGGGTAGATGGCAATCTATTGAATCATGTTTACGTATGTGTCCTGTTTGCAATATGTCTGTGAAGATGAATATCATTTCGTATTGATCTGTACACATTATACTGAGCTGCGTAAAGTGTATTTGCCAGAATTGTATTGGAAGTTTCCAACTATATATAAATTAAAAAAGTTATTGTGTACAACTCAGGATGAGTTATTAAAACGTCTGCAACATTATGTATATTATGCGTATAAAAAAAAGACATGAAGTCGTAAAATCTATGTAACGTGCTTCACATTGTATTGTTGTCACTACATTTTCTTGTATATGGGCCAAAGGCCTACACACAAATAAACTAATTTTGACTTTGACAAGCATAGTCGCCTCTTACAGAAAGCATGGGTTTCTGAAGAACTATTCTCACCGGTATCTTCACGGGTCCTTTTATTTTAGTAAACACAATGATCAGTACTATTGTTTGATTCCACAGTCAGCATTATAACAGCTCTATCACCGCGGAATGTAATTTATGTGTGTTGTTCAGTGCTGCTAGATGACTGTGGTCTGTCAATAATCGTCAAAACAAAGGTTGCAGGGGACTTATAATCTCACCCGGATTCCCATGGGTGATTTGTAATGAATAGAGTTTGCAGCTGATCATGTGAGCAATGAACATGTCATCACACATTGTGACCAACTGATCCACCTTCTAGGCCTCTTTTACACATTGTGTATTGGACCCATTCTTCCCAGAAGTTCCTAAAAGATGCTGACACAACTTTCCACTCAGTAAAAATCATTAACAATGTGAATAGTCCATTGAAACCCATCTTATTAAACATGAACACTGCCTTTGCAGCTGGAAGCTGTTATGTTAACCTATGGAAGCTAAAAGGTCCTCACCACGTCCATAGTTTCTGAATCACCGAACCTTTCCTTCCAGCGTTCCTGTAGAAAGTCCATCTGACCCTGTTTGGGAAACAATGGAACTGATACAATATTTCAACCAACTGAAAGTGATCACAATTACAGTAAGGCCATATATTTTTTATTTTTCATTTCACAGGCCCATCGCCCCAACTGAAAAGCAGCCGGTCTAAGAAATACATTAAACTTAAAAATATTTATTTTTATTATGTCTCCTGCTAGTAACCTAGACCCTCTTATACAGTATAAAAGGTTGTATAAAATTCCATGTCTACATCACTATCAGTGATTCAAGAGGCCACCTGCAGTTTTAACTCCACCGCAGAATGACTTTTATATATGTGATACAAAAATAATTGACATTTATATAACTTTTATTTTGACCAACCCTGTGTGGAAAAGCTGTAATAAATCTGTGAAACATAAAAATTTAAAAATTGTGTGTAACCTTCACATATACTTCTACAACAATAGATTCTCTATCAGTTAGGGTTATTAACAGCTGTGTAAACATGACTAACCACGAACTTGTAGTGATGACAAGCTTCTTTATTACAATTGTGGGAATGGTAGTCCTTATATTTGTGGTTTTATGCCACAGTCAGCAATATTCCAGTGGTATCATCATCACCATCCTCATCATCATCACAATAATAATAATCAAGTCTGGGCCAGAGAAACCAGTGGTTGACATAATGAGCAATGTTAGGATATGATGAACTCACTCAACCTATTCACCACGCGAGACCAACTCTTCCCCACCCAGCACGAGGCACAGGATCCCCAAGGGTTAGTTTAGATATACTAAATACAGTAAACCATGGTTAAAACGAACTCAAAAGGGACTGCTAATTTTCGTTTGTTATAACCGAAGTTAGTTATAAGCATACATACAGCATGTACATAGAGCAAATGACCGGTAAATAAAAAAACAGTTTGTTATATCCGTCAGTTCGTTATAAACGTAGTTTACTGAATGTTATAATTGTGCTCAGTCCCAGTGATAATGGAATGTAGACCCTTGTGTTTCACACTTGAAGTTGGGCAGGGTTTCTATTCTAAGCCAGGTTTACACACTCCAAGCTCTGTGACACTACATACTGTGGGTCTTTCATCAGCTACCATGGCAATAACAAGTAGAATCTACTACAAACAACAACAAATGAAGAGGTTGAGGCAGAGTATGGCTGCCACCCGTGCCCCCTACCCTAAATGACAATCGCTATGTTAAGAGACTACTTGGTGAACAGAATGACAAACTCCATCAGCCATTAAACACAAATATTTAGGTCTAAACCCCTTCAGAAAAAAAATAATATTTCAGACAAATAACTTAACAGGTTGTAATGAGCATTTAAAGTTTGAACAGAGTGGACAGTGTTGAACAGAGTGGACAGTGTTGAACAGAGTGGACAGTGTTGAACAGAGTGGACAGTGTTGAACAGAGTAGACAGTGTTGAACAGGGTGGACAGTGTTGAACTGAGTGGAAATTGTTGAACAGAGTGGACAGTGTTGAACAGAGTGGACAGTGTTGAACAGAGTGGACAGCGTTGAACAGAGCGGACAGTGTTGAACAGAACGGACAGTGTTGAACAGAGCAGACAGTGTTGAACAGAGTGGACAGTGTTGAACAGAGTGGACAGTGTTGAACAGAGTGGACAGTGTTGAACAGAGCAGACAGTGTTGAACAGAGCAGACAATGTTGATCAGAGCAAACAGTGTTGAACAGAGTGGACAGTGTTAAACAGAGTGGACAGTGTTGAACAGAGTGGACAGTGTTTAACAGAGTGGACAGTGTTGAACAGAGTGGACAGTGTTGAACAGAGTAGACAGTGTTGAACAGGGTGGACAGTGTTGAACTGAGTGGAAATTGTTGAACAGTAGTGGACAGTGTTGAACAGAGTGGACATTGTTGAACAGAGTGGACAGCGTTGAACAGAGCGGACAGTGTTGAACAGAACGGACAGTGTTGAACAGAGCAGACAGTGTTGAACAGAGTGGACAGTGTTGAACAGAGTGGACAGTGTTGAACAGAGTGGACAGTGTTGAACAGAGCAGACAGTGTTGAACAGAGCAGACAATGTTGATCAGAGCAAACAGTGTTGAACAGAGTGGACTGTGTTGAACAGAGGTGACAGTGTGGACAGCATTGAACAGAGTGGACTGTGTTGAACAGAACGGACAGTGTTGAACAGAGCAGACAGTGTTGAACAGAGTGGACAGTGTTGAACAGAGTGGACAGTGTTGAACAGAGTGGGCAGTGTTGAACAGAGCAGACAGTATTGAACGGACTGGACTGTGTTGAACAGAGTGGACAGTAGTGGACAGTGTGGATAGTATTGAACAGAGCGGACAGTGTTGAACAGTGTGGACAGTGTTGAACAGAGAACTGAAGCTCACCTTTATATGCATGGTGACCTTCTTGAGGTCATCATTCTTTCCAGTCACATCATCATCATAATATTCAATCAAGGGAGAGCACTTTTGGGCAATGTGCTGTAGAAACTTGTTCTGTCGTCTCTCGGACATCGCCTCCCATATGTGGAGGACGGTTATTGCCTTCTGCATCAGTGCATTGGCCTTGGCATTGTCATAAACACTGAAAGGACAAAACATGACTGAACATTTAATTTTGCGCCAACTGTTAACATACACATCTCATTTAGAACCGATAGCAAAAGTGTTAAAATTTTCGAGCATTCAATGTTTAATAATATTCCTATGAGACAATGGATGACGTCATTCGCTTCTTTTATGAATACCACTGCCTGTTTAGCATAATGTGGACAAAAGCAATTTGGGGCGGAGAAACATAACAGAAACTCATCAAGAAAAGTATTCATGCGCAGTGAACAGTTCAAATAGATCTCCAGAAGCCAATTCCATTTCACAGGGTTTATCAACAGATTGGAACACACACTCTCATTTATTTAACAATATGGTAAATACTCAATAATTAAAAACTCACTTATGAAACAGGGTTGGTTGTTTAAATTAAAATTTAGATGCAGCTTTGAATTAATGTATTATTAACCATAGCAGTCTATTCAGTTAATTGTGGTACTTATTCAGCCAGAATGTGTTTGTCGGTCAGCACTTCAAGGATGTTTCGTGAAATATGAGGACAATTATTTTTTCCAGCATTTCCTGGGACAGATTTTTTTATTTCGAAAATCACTTCCCCATCTCCCCTCACCCCTGGAAATGAAATGGTTGGCTCCCCATAGAGAACATCAACTCACATCTGGAAGGTGTTGGTCAAGAGGGCGATGAAGAGGTTGAGGCAGAGTATGGCTGAGAAGAAGAACCAGGTAGTGAGCAGCAGGTACGTCATCACGGAATCCACCTGCAGCATGTGCTGGATGGCGTGTCGGGAACATAGAAACAACAGTCAGTTTAACACTGTTTGAAACCGTTTTCAGGTACCATATTTCCTGGACAAGGGCGTTACCTGACTGTAAAAGTCCAGTTTCAACCCTTGCCGAACAAGGCTGGAAGTCCAGAGTTACATTTTGGCTGGACTAACGAGTGCAACAAACTAGAGATCCGGTTCGTAAACAACAAGGATTTCAACATGCAGATTTCCATCTACTGTAGGATTTGCAAAGCATGTGTACTGTCGCGGACAGATATTTTCCGAATCTTTCATGTTTTTAATCAACCTACTCAAATGATTTGATGCGCTTTGTAAGGTAAGGCCCGTTTATTACAACATAGATCTTGATTAACGATCAGATCGTCTTCATTGGGGGCTGTCATTTTGTTGAAAGCAAATGCAAGAGATATGAGAAGTGGAATCTGATTGATCTATAGGAGGGACATAAAAGGGATAGAACTCGTAATAGCCACTGGTGGCGCTAAGACCGAGCCACTAAATTCCAGTTCAGTTTGGCAAGGGTGGAAACTGGACTTTTGTAGTCAGTTAACGCCCTTGCCTCAGGAAGATGTTCAGTTGTATGTCATGGTGCAGGTCTTTGACATTTTCCACTTTGGTAAAACCCATGCGCAAAGTGCTGACAAACCTAGGAAAATCATTAAGGCGAAACCAGGAGAACCCATGGTCATAGTTGAAGATGACTGTTGATTGTTGTTCAACGCCGTACTAAACAATATTCCAGCTATATGACGGCGGTCCAAAAATAATCAAGTTTGGACAGACAATCCAGAGATTGACAACATGAGCATCGATCTACGCAATTGGGATACGATGGCATGTATCAACCAAGTCAGCGAACCTGACCACCCGATCCCGTTAGTCGCCTCTTACGACAAGCATAGTCGCCTTTTACGTCCAACATTTGGCTGTTGAAGACCTATTTTAACTCGTATCTTCACGGGTGTGTACATAGTGATGTAGACATATTGGTTGTTGCAAGCCACAAAGATGTGATAGTTTGCTTCTAATGATATTTTCCTTGTAGCCAAAGTAATATCTTGGAATCCCACAGGAGACAAATTTTAAATGGTTTCAGGTTTATATGATTTGGAATATGTTTCTGTGTTGCAGGGTGGTGGCCCCACTATTTTGAAGCAAACTTTAATATTATTTTCCCTAGAAAGCGTTGAAATATGATAACGTAAATGAGTGAGTTGGGGTGAAGACGAGATACAGTAGACAAATGAAATTTGAAAAAGTTGATCTAAACAGCGGTTAAATATATATACACACACTGACCTCGAGGTCGTACTCATCCACCAATGTGAGCTGGAAAAGGCTGAAGAAGACTTCACCGGGATGCTTGAACCCATCCACCTCGACCAGCTCCTCGCCATTCTCCTCCACCTTATCTCTACCATAGATCATCCAGAAGGCACACACTGCACACAGCAACGTCAATACATACATTCATCATAGATCATCCAGAAGGCACACACTGCACACAGCAACATCAATATATACATTCATCATAGATCATCTAAAAGGCACACAGCAACGTCAATACATACATTCATCATAGATAATCCAGAAGGCACACACTGCACACAGCAACATCAATATATACATTCATCATAGATCATCCAGAAGGCACACACTGCACACAGCAACATCAATATATACATTCATCATAGATCATCCAGAAGGCACACACTGCACACAGCAACATCAATATATACATTCATCATAGATCATCCAGAAGGCACACACTGCACACAGCAACATCAATATATACATTCATCATAGATCATCCAGAAGGCACACACTGCACACAGTAACATCAATATATACATTCATCATAGATCATCCAGAAGGCACACACTGCACACAGCAACATCAATACATACATTCATCATAGATCATCCAGAAGGCACACACTGCACACAGCAACATTAATACATACATTCATCATAGATCATCCAGAAGGCACACACTGCACACAGCAACATCAATACATACATTCATCATAGATCATCCAGAAGGCACACACTGCACACAGCAACATCAATATATACATTCATCATAGATCATCCAGAAGGCACACACTGCACACAGCAACATCAATACATATATTCATCATAGATCATCCAGAAGGCACACACTGCACACAGCAACATTAATACATACATTCATCATAGATCATCCAGAAGGTACACACTGCACACAGCAACATCAATACATACATTCATCATAGATCATCCAGAAGGCACACACTGCACACAGCAACATCAATACATACATTCATCATAGATCATCCAGAAGGCACACACTGCACACAGCAACATCAATATATACATTCATCATAGATCATCCAGAAGGCACACACTGCACACAGCAACATCAATATATACATTCATCATAGATCATCCAGAAGGCACACACTGCACACAGCAACATCAATACATACGTTCATCATAGATCATCCAGAAGGCACACACTGCACACAGCAACATCAATACATACATTCATCATAGATCATCCAGAAGGCACACACTGCACACAGCAACATCAATACATACGTTCATCATAGATCATCCAGAAGGCACACACTGGACACAGCAACATCAATATATACATTCATCATAGATCATCCAGAAGGCACACACTGCACACAGCAACATCAATATATACGTTCATCATAGATCATCCAGAAGGCACACACTGCACACAGCAACATCAATACATACGTTCATCATAGATCATCCAGAAGGCACACACTGGACACAGCAACATCAATATATACATTCATCATAGATCATCCAGAAGGCACACACTGCACACAGCAACATCAATACATACATTCATCATAGATCATCCAGAAGGCACACACTGGACACAGCAACATCAATATATACATTCATCATAGATCATCCAGAAGGCACACACTGCACACAGCAACATCAATACATACATTCATCATAGATCATCCAGAAGGCACACAATGCACACAGCAACATCAATACATACATTCATCATAGATCATTCAGAAGGCACACACTGCACACAGCAACATCAATACATACATTCATCATAGATCATCCAGAAGGCACACACTGCACACAGCAACATCAATACATACATTCATCATAGATCATCCAGAAGGCACACACTGGACACAGCAACATCAATACATACATTTTCCATCGGTCGTCTGGAAAGCACACACTTGGGTCAATAAGTTTCTTAAAAAGATACTGGAAACATGGACAAAAGCTAAACAACGGAATCAAAGTTGCCTATAGTTGCTTTTGTATTTTCATTTTTTTACTAAGGCCTCACCTTTTTAATTTTATATTTCACGAATGTATTCTAGCTTTTCCAAACAAGATTTGTCAAAATAAAAATAAACATAAATGTCAATTATTTATTTATTTATATGAAAGTAATTCTGCCGTGGAGCTAAAACTGCAGGTAGCCTCTTGATTCACTGATAGTGATGTAGACATGGAATTTATATATAACATTTATACTGTATAAGAGGCTTTATATTACTAGTCGGAGACATAATAAAAATCAATATTTTTATGTTTTATATATTTCTTAGACCTGCTGGTTTTCATGAAGGGTAGTGGGTCTGTGAAATGAAAAATATAAAATGTGTAGCCGAAATATGAACAATGAAAAATCAAATCTGGTGTGGACATTTCATGACTTTTAGGTAGCCAAGTCTGTGATCATCCTTCAATAAACATGTTATTGTTGTTTCTTCACAAGATGTGGCCTTGGTCATGTGTTTTACACACATTGTCAACCATGGATATTTCGCTATGACCATTTTTGTTGACAGCAACTATACAAGATTTGGTGTAATGGTAATTTTCAGCCCCTCAATATCGATACATACCATTACCCACAGACTAAACTGATAACAACAAAATCTTAGTTTTATGTTTACCATCAGTACACATTGTAAATTATGATTAATATTTTGAGGTAAAGATTATGCGAAGAAATGAAGTGTGCACAAGTATGGCACTCACCGTATGGTATGTAGAACTCCAGGAAGAGGAAGAGGAATCGGAGGAGGTCGGTCATCATGTGCCCCAGCATCACAATGAAAGGACCTGGAGTTAGTGGAGGATTGAGTAGGTAGGGTTTTACACTGTTTTCAGCAATACTTCAGCCCAAGAATAGGTTTCAAACATTGTATTCTTGTGTGTAAATAACCATGATCTGTCACATGACAATCAAATACATTACATTGTTACCTCAAAACACAGAAACACAGAAGTTATTATGCAAGTATCTTTGGAGGTAAATCACAAATTAAAAATCAAACTTTGGGACCTTCGGAATTATAAAATAAGACTCTATGGATCACTGGATCATTTGTATTGATTGAGAAAGTGTTTCTGTTCGATTAAGTTAAGTGTCAACTTAATGTAGGAGGGAAAATCGTAGACTTTGTAGAAGTTGCTAACTTTGGTGGAACCTACAAGCATTGGTATGGTTTGGAAATATCAAAGATATTCAAGGTTCAAGTTCATGATCAGTGGATCCTTGCTTGCTAGGGGAAACAACCTTGTATAGCTTGCATGCCGCAAAGTAGGCCACTGGCAACCCATTCCCTCTATCGTTATGAAGCTATCGAGCAAAGGTATATTATTATGTGAGGAGTTTATCAATGGTTCCAGTTGAACAGAAGGAGTTCACTCACCGACAACTGTAAAAGCCCGAGCACACTTCATGAGTCGCAGCCAGAGGAGGATGATGGTGACGCACATGATGCGGATGTGCCATCGAGCCAGCAGTTCCGAGTGCTGCACCACGTCCACGAGGTGGGTGACCACACACACACTCAGCAGCAAGTAGCACACCCAGTCAAAGTAGTTCCTGAACAATGAGGGATGCAGTGTTTTAGAAGGTACTCACTCATCCACTCACTCACCCACACACTCACCCACTCACTCACCCACACACTCACCCAATCACTCACCCACACACTCACTCACGGTAAACCAAGCTGCAATAGAACACAGTCAGACACTCATAACTACGGACATTGTGATGCAATAGTCTACACACTAACGTCTTTGGGAGGCATTTAGAAGTTGGAGTAATAAGTAAGGATAAGATTTACGGATGAGCAACTTCTTTATTGCAATTAGGAGCGACATTTCGCTGTAGGTTCTAACACCGTTATCAAGCATTGCTTTCGGTGTAGGTTCTAGCACCGTTATCAAGCACCGAAACGTCTTTCCTAATTGTAATAAAGAAGTTGTTCACACATAAATCTTACCCTTACTTAGTTTACACATTAGTTGGACCCAGCATCTGAAAACTGACCACTTATCCTGGAAGTATTTCAACTGGAGACTGTTCAGATCCTGGAGTTCCCGGTTGAGGAACTCTGCCTCCTCCGGCCATCTTGGATGACAGAACTTCATGTCCTTCTTTATCTGCTGTGTCCTCGACGCCACCCACTCCTGCGGAGATAGACCAGAACAGTGGATGTGTGAACAGGGACAGAACAGTGGATGTGTGAACAGGGACAGAACAGTGGATGTGTGAACGGGGACAGAACAGTGGATGTGTGAACGGGGACAGAACAGTGGATGTGTGAACAGGGACAGAACAGTGGATGTGTGAACAGGGACAGAACAGTGGATGTGTGAACAGGGACAGAACAGTGGATGTGTGAACGGGGACAGAACAGTGGATGTGTGAACAGGGACAGAACAGTGGATGTGTGAACAGGGACAGAACAGGGGATGTGTGAACAGGGACAGAACAGTGGATGTGTGAACAGGGACAGAACAGGGACAGAACAGGGGATGTGTGAACGGGGACAGAACAGTGGATGTGTGAACAGGGACAGAACAGTGGATGTGTGAACAGGGACAGAACAGTGGATGTGTGAACAGGGACAGAACAGTGGATGTGTGAACAGGGACAGAACAGTGGATGTGTGAACGGGGACAGAACAGTGGATGTGTGAACAGAGACAGAACAGTGGATGTGTGAACGGGGACAGAACAGTGGATGTGTGAACAGGGACAGAACAGTGGATGTGTGAACAGGGACAGAACAGTGGATGTGTGAACAGGGACAGAACAGTGGATGTGTGAACGGGGACAGAACAGTGGATGTGTGAACAGGGACAGAACAGTGGATGTGTGAACGGCGACAGAACAGTGGATGTGTGAACGGCGACAGAACAGTGGATGTGTGAACAGGGACAGAACAGTGGATGTGTGAACGGGGACAGAACAGTGGATGTGTGAACGGGGACAGAACAGTGGATGTGTGAACAGGGACAGAACAGTGGATGTGTGAACAGGGACAGAACAGTGGATGTGTGAACAGGGACAGAACAGTGGATGTGTGAACAGGGACAGAACAGTGGATGTGTGAACAGGGACAGAACAGTGGATGTGTGAACGGGGACAGAACAGTGGATGTGTGAACGGGGACAGAACAGTGGATGTGTGAACAGGGACAGAACAGTGGATGTGTGAGCGGGGACAGAACAGTGGATGTGTGAACAGGGACAGAACAGTGGATGTGTGAACAGGGACAGAACAGTGGATGTGTGAACGGGGACAGAACAGTGGATGTGTTAACAGGGACAGAACAGTGGATGTGTGAACGGGGACAGAACAGTGGATGTGTGAACAGGGACAGAACAGTGGATGTGTGAACAGGGACAGAACAGTGGATGTGTGAACAGGGACAGAACAGTGGATGTGTGAACAGGGACAGAACAGTGGATGTGTGAACAGGGACAGAACAGTGGATGTGTGAACAGGGACAGAACAGTGGATGTGTGAACAGGGACAGAACAGTGGATGTGTGAACAGGGACAGAACAGTGGATGTGTGAACGGGGACAGAACAGTGGATGTGTGAACAGGGACAGAACAGTGGATGTGTGAACAGGGACAGAAGAGTGGTTGTGTGAACAGGGACAGAACAGTGGATGTGTGAACAGGGACAGAACAGTGGATGTGTGAACGGGGACAGAACAGTGGATGTGTGAACAGGGACAGAACAGTGGATGTGTGAACAGGGACAGAACAGTGGATGTGTGAACAGGGACAGAACAGTGGATGTGTGAACAGGGACAGAACAGTGGATGTGTGAACAGGGACAGAACAGTGGATGTGTGAACAGGGACAGAACAGTGGATGTGTGAACGGGGACAGAACAGTGGATGTGTGAACAGGGACAGAACAGTGGATGTGTGAACAGGGACAGAACAGTGGTTGTGTGAACAGGGACAGAACAGTGGTTGTGTGAACAGGGACAGAACAGTGGATGTGTGAACGGGGACAGAACAGTGGATGTGTGAACAGGGACAGAACAGTGGATGTGTGAACAGGGACAGAACAGTGGATGTGTGAACAGGGACAGAACAGTGGATGTGTGAACAGGGACAGAACAGTGGATGTGTGAACAGGGACAGAACAGTGGATGTGTGAACAGGGACAGAAGAGTGGATGTGTGAACAGGGACAGAACAGTGGATGTGTGAACAGGGACAGAACAGTGGATGTGTGAACAGGGACAGAACAGTGGATGTGTGAACAGGGACAGAACAGGGGATGTGTGAACAGGAACAGAACAGTGGATGTGTGAACAGGGACAGAACAGTGGATGTGTGAACGGGGACAGAACAGTGGATGTGTGAACAGGGACAGAACAGTGGTTGTGTGAACAGGGACAGAACAGTGGTTGTGTGAACAGGGACAGAACAGTGGATGTGTGAACAGGGACAGAACAGTGGATGTGTGAACGGGGACAGAACAGTGGATGTGTGAACGGGGACAGAACAGGGGATTTGTGAACAGGAACAGAACAGTGGATGTGTGAACAGGGACAGAACAGTGGATGTGTGAACAGGGACAGAACAGTGGATGTGTGAACAGGGACAGAACAGTGGATGTGTGAACAGGGACAGAACAGTGGATGTGTGAACAGGGACAGAACAGTGGATGTGTGAACGGGGACAGAACAGTGGATGTGTGAACAGGGACAGAACAGTGGATGTGTGAACAGGGACAGAACAGTGGTTGTGTGAACAGGGACAGAACAGTGGTTGTGTGAACAGGGACAGAACAGTGGATGTGTGAACGGGGACAGAACAGTGGATGTGTGAACAGGGACAGAACAGTGGATGTGTGAACAGGGACAGAACAGTGGATGTGTGAACAGGGACAGAACAGTGGATGTGTGAACAGGGACAGAACAGTGGATGTGTGAACAGGGACAGAACAGTGGATGTGTGAACAGGGACAGAAGAGTGGATGTGTGAACAGGGACAGAACAGTGGATGTGTGAACAGGGACAGAACAGTGGATGTGTGAACAGGGACAGAACAGTGGATGTGTGAACAGGGACAGAACAGGGGATGTGTGAACAGGAACAGAACAGTGGATGTGTGAACAGGGACAGAACAGTGGATGTGTGAACGGGGACAGAACAGTGGATGTGTGAACAGGGACAGAACAGTGGTTGTGTGAACAGGGACAGAACAGTGGTTGTGTGAACAGGGACAGAACAGTGGATGTGTGAACAGGGACAGAACAGTGGATGTGTGAACGGGGACAGAACAGTGGATGTGTGAACGGGGACAGAACAGGGGATTTGTGAACAGGAACAGAACAGTGGATGTGTGAACAGGGACAGAACAGGGGATGTGTGAACAGGGACAGAACAGGGGATGTGTGAACAGGGACAGAACAGTGGATGTGTGAACAGGGACAGAACAGTGGTTGTGTGAACAGGGACAGAACAGTGGATGTGTGAACAGGGACAGAACAGTGGATGTGTGAACGGGGACAGAACAGTGGATGTGTGAACAGGGACAGAACAGGGGATGTGTGAACAGGGACAGAACAGTGGATGTGTGAACAGGGACAGAACAGTGGATGTGTGAACAGGGACAGAACAGTGGATGTGTGAACGGGGACAGAACAGTGGATGTGTGAACAGGGACAGAACAGTGGATGTGTGAACAGGAACAGAACAGGGGATGTGTGAACAGGGACAGAACAGTGGATGTGTGAACAGGGACAGAACAGTGGATGTGTGAACAGGGACAGAAGAGTGGATGTGTGAACGGGGACAGAACAGTGGATGTGTGAACAGGGACAGAACAGTGGATGTGTGAACAGGGACAGAACAGTGGATGTGTGAACAGGGACAGAACAGTGGATGTGTGAACGGGGACAGAACAGTGGATGTGTGAACAGGGACAGAACAGTGGATGTGTGAACAGGGACAGAACAGTGGATGTGTTAACAGGGACAGAACAGTGGATGTGTGAACAGGGACAGAACAGTGGATGTGTGAACAGGGACAGAACAGTGGATGTGTGAACAGGGACAGAACAGTGGATGTGTGAACAGGGACAGAACAGTGGATGTGTGAACAGGGACAGAACAGTAGATGTGTGAACAGGGACAGAACAGGGGATGTGTGAACAGGGACAGAACAGTGGATGTGTGAACAGGGACAGAACAGTGGATGTGTGAACAGGGACAGAACAGTGGATGTGTGAACAGGGACAGAACAGTGGATGTGTGAACAGGGACAGAACAGTGGATGTGTGAACAGGGACAGAACAGTGGATGTGTGAACGGGGACAGAACAGTGGATGTGTGAACAGGGACAGAACAGTGGATGTGTGAACAGGGACAGAACAGTGGATGTGTGAACAGGGACAGAACAGTGGATGTGTGAACAGGGACAGAACAGTGGATGTGTGAACGGGGACAGAACAGTGGATGTGTGAACAGGGACAGAACAGTGGATGTGTGAACAGGGACAGAACAGTGGATGTGTGAACAGGGACAGAACAGTGGATGTGTTAACAGGGACAGAACAGTGGATGTGTGAACAGGGACAGAAGAGTGGATGTGTGAACAGGGACAGAACAGTGGATGTGTGAACAGGGACAGAACAGTGGATGTGTGAACAGGGACAGAACAGTGGATGTGTGAACAGGGACAGAACAGGGGATGTGTGAACAGGGACAGAACAGTGGATGTGTGAACGGGGACAGAACAGTGGATGTGTGGACAGGGACAGAACAGTGGATGTGTGAACAGGGACAGAACAGGGGATGTGTGAACAGGGACAGAACAGTGGATGTGTGAACAGGGACAGAACAGTGGATGTGTGAACAGGGACAGAACAGGGGATGTGTGAACAGGGACAGAACAGTGGATGTGTGAACAGGGACAGAACAGTGGATGTGTGAACAGGGACAGAACAGTGGATGTGTGAACAGGGACAGAACAGTGGATGTGTGAACAGGGACAGAACAGTGGATGTGTGAACAGGGACAGAACAGTGGATGTGTGAACAGGGACAGAACAGGGGATGTGTGAACAGGGACAGAACAGGGGATGTGTGAACAGGGACAGAACAGTGGATGTGTGAACAGGGACAGAACAGTGGATGTGTGAACGGCGACAGAACAGT